CCCCCCCCCCCCCCCTCCCACCCCTCTCTAACTGGTTATAGGCCCAAATATATGTGTACAAAAAAAATATAATCCCTCTTTTACTTTATGTACCTCACTGCTTTAGTGCCAACCTTTTATGAAGAAGCTTACATGTACTTGAACAGTGCTTCGCACGCTTGTTTCCTTACAGTGTACTTGTGCCCTGTGTTACTTGCTCTCAAGAACACAAAACATCTTATACTGCCACATGTTGGTCTTGTTAGCTTATCAAAAGGGGGACCATTTTTTATACCTTAAGGTTATAAGACCCTGTGGTCATATAAGCCCCTGTTTATGAGCCCACCCAAAAGCCCTTGTGAAGTTGTATAAGCCTGCTGCTAGCATGGCTTATAACCAGAATTTTATGGCATTAATCTGTTGGATGTNCCCCCCCCCCCCCCACCCCACCCCTCTCCAACTGGTTATAGGCCCAAATATATGTTATAGGCCCAAATATATGTGTACAAAAAAAAACTGTTCTAGTTGGCCCCCACCCAACCCAAACCCAACTCAACCCTCTTTTACTTTGTGTACCTCACTGCTTTAGTGCCAACCTTTTATGAAGAACCTTACATGTACTTCAGCGCTTTGCACACTTGTTTCCTTACAGTGTACTTGTGCCCTGTGTTACTTGTTCTCAAGAACACAAAACATCTTATACTGCCACATGTTGGTTTTGTTAGCTTATCAAAAAGGGGACCATTTTTTTTACCTTAAGGTTATAAGACCCTGCGGTCATATAAGCCCCTGTTTATGAGCCCACCCAAAAGCCCTTGTGAAGTTGTATAAGCCTGCTGCTAGCATGGCTTATAACCAGAATTTTATGGCATTAATCTGTTGGATGTTAAAGATTGGCTAGTTAAGTGTGTCAACAGGAGTTTAGTGTTCTAAGAGTGCCATTTGATTATATAGCAACTGTAACATGTATTTTTTTTCTAGCTGTTTACTGTCGTACAGAATGTCAAACAAGTTCATGAATGCTTGGAGTCTGGAGAAGACCAGCAAGTAAGTTTCATTAAATTGTATGTATATTCAGTAGTCCACACATTCCTTCTACCAACAAGTGTCCTAAATAATGCAAAATGAGTGTATTGACAATAGTGTATAACTACAGTCAGACCCCGGTAATTCGCCCTCGGTTATTTTGAATTCCCGCTTATTTCGAACTCAAAACCATTTCCCTTAAATTTGTTCTTCACATATTTACTATTGGCTTTTTCAAACTCTCACTATTTCAAACTATTTTATGATTCCCCTGAGAATTTGAAAAAAGCAGGTTCAGCTGTATTTTTAATTGTTATGTCTGTTCATTTTAACTGTGCACTTTTATGCCGGCACAGATTTCCATACAGTATGCACAAGCTTTGGGGGATTGTTACTTGTACTAGCCGAGAAACTTTATCGTTCAAAGTACCATACAAAAAAGAGTGGTAGTATGATAACCTGATAGTTGCCCCCCCACCTCCACCCCTCTATATTAAGCCCCTTCTCAAACATGAAAGGTACCCTGGTACCTGATATGTTGTATTAGCCCCACCCTGGAAGGGTGGGGGGTGTTTGTTGGGGGATGTCCCAGCAAATTTGGCGCATGCTGTATTTGCATAAATTAATGTGAGATCCAAACGGGACAGTTTTCACTATTCAATAGTCTATTACTTAACACCTGAAAGGCTGTTAAGTAACCTTTTGTGCATAATAATATTATTATTAGTTTTATTCAGACAAGAAATTAGATGTTCTTTTATCAAAGACTGTCTTTTGACTTCAGTTTTTTGATGATGTGGAGTACCTGCTGGATGGTCTCAAACAATCCCGTTCAATAGCGACCCGGTGCTTAAGTGCACTGGACTTTGCGTCCCATTGCTCTAAGCCCTCATTCAGAGTGAGCCTAAGAGCCCATGGCATTGCACCGAAAATCTTCTCAGCCCTTCAAGATGCACCTTCTGATAAGGTGAGAGTTGTCTTGATGAAGAGGTGTTAAATTCTCCCAACTCCTTGTCATATAGTTATTTTTATTTTATTACTGAGAATCTTGTGGTATAGTAAAATGATACATGTATCTTGCTTATTATATTCAAGATCCATAATAAACATCTCGTCCAAAAAAATGCCAAGTCGGTAACATCAGGTTTTAAATAAATGCTATTTGAGGTAGTTGGGGTTTTGCGTTTTGGTGTTTAGTTGATTTCCTTAATGTGACTAGCTACAATTTTGTTATAATAAAATGGCATAAAATATTCTAAAATATAATAATATAATTCTCAATTATATATTGGGTCCCTGAATATACACACCAGGTTTAATTACAGTTAATTCTCTATAAAAGTAAAAGACTATGTGTACTACAAAATTAAAGGAACAGGACATCTTAATTGAAAAGAGTATGTAATACCTGTAACAGTGTACATTATATGTGACAATTCCGAACCCAAAAATGGGTCTCGTTCATTCCATCCCACTGTTGCGGGTGGGAGGTGCGGTGGCCTCATGGTTAGTGCACTCGACTCCAGAGCGAGCGGTCTGGGTTGGAGCCCTGGTCAAGGACATTGTGTTGTGTTCTTGGGCAAGACACTTTACTCTCACAGTGCCTCTCTCTGCCCAGGTGTATAAATGGGTACCGGCAAATTTAATGCTGGGGCGTAACCCTGCAATGGACTAGTTTCCCATCCAGGGGGAAGCAGAAATTTTCCTAGTGGCTTCATGCTACTGAAACTGGGCTAAGCTCTGGCCTGATGTAAGAGCTACTTGGCTTAATGCAGACTTTACCTACCCACTATTGCGGACTCTCACTCTTGATGATAACAAATGACAGTCTTGAGGGTGTCCACAATAACAAGAGTTGACTGAAAATGCCAATTCTAAGTTATTAGTTTGAGTTTCCCCTGGTATCTAATTGAGGTACTGACATAAATTATAGATATTTCAGACTCAGTGTTAGATTGACTGTTGGCAACTCAACTATACATGTGCAACTGATTCTGACCAATCAATAGGACCTGTGTACTAATCTATCCATGATCTTTAAGAGGTGTTGTGCACAAACTAATCTCTGTATAAAAACATAAAGAAAGTAGGGTGCACTCCACCAAATAGGTACTTGATGTGTACATGTGTCTGCTCTATACAATGTATCTTCATTTAATGTCATTCATCATCGATTGTTTTCAGTGTCTTGCTCTTTGTACATCAGCAATTACCTTGATGTTATCTCAAGACCGACAGAATGCTGATTTAGACAGATCTGTTCTTGGTGAGAATTTTAGTTGTTGATCAGATGTTTCAAAAAAGGAAAAAAAAAACATTTGGAGTCATAGATTTCTAATATTACACAAAACAAAGGCAGACTAGAAAGGCTTTCTGTTTTGCAGTTGTGAAATGTAACTTGCAGCAATTACTTCAAGACTTTGTGACTACCCTGAACAAGACCTGTATAATGTCAACATACTTGCCCATATTTGGATGTGAAAGTCATAGACCAACATAAGAATTTCCTAGCCTTTGATTCTTAGACCTTGTTGTTTGTCTACCAATAATTTTCAGAGCTGATGATGAAGCTGTTAGCTGCAGACAGCAACAAGCAGCAATCAAAGTCTTCAAAGGATTACAATCAATACATCACAAAAGTGAGGTTAGTGTCCCTCATTTTCATTTATCAGTTTAATAATTATTTCAATGCGAGATAATTTATGTGATCTGTTATTGACAAATTAATGTATAAATTAATATTTTAGAACATTACTAGAAAAACAAGGTGGATCAGATGATGAACTACTCGCTGCAGGAGATGAGGACATAAATGTAAGTTGCATTAGCTAGCCCTGGCTTGGAACATTGTGTTGTGTTCTCGGGCAAGACACTTTACTCTCTTGAGTGCCTCTCTCTACCCAAGTGAATTTAATGCCGAGGGATAACCCTGCAATGGACTAGCATCCCATCCGGTAAGGTGGAGTGGGGTGAGGAAGGGGGTAGAAATACTGTAGTCGCTTCATGCTTCCTTCAGAAACTGGAGATAAGTGCCAGCCTGATGGGCTCATATGCTGACTTAACCTATCTAACTAAGGATAATGGATGAGAAAGGAATTTAACTGTTAGTATTAATTATCTTGATCACAGCCTGCCTCTCTCATATGTGAGTCGATGCTGTCTTTGACGTCCCAGAGGACTGGGGAGTGGTTTAAAGAGGAGATTCGAGTATTGCGAGGCCTGGATCACATCATGGACATAGGTTGATACCAAAAAAGTTGAATTTTGTTGAAAACCCTGATATATAAAGGATATCACATGGCCACACAGGGATACGAAATTGCGAGTGCTGAAAAAAAGAAAAAAATTCAACACAAGAAGAGAAAGTTGGTATATCTAAGCAGCCATGTTATGTCCTATTTATTATCTATAAACACCAATGAAATACCAAACAATTTCACTTCCGCTGCAAAAGCCATAAGTGAAGAAAACTTAAGGTTTTTTTTCCTGCCCTGGCTATAGGTTAACCTGTCAAAGTAATGGTGGGACTGACTGCCGGGCTAGGTAACTTTAAGTTCAGTTATCATCTGCTGACTGTTGTGACTGTTATTGCTGGTTATTAACTGACTGTTATGTTTTGTCTAGCAATTCAGACTATCGACAACCTTCTAACAAGGTATGCCGATGGCAGATTACACGAGGGTGTAGCAATAGCTAAGGTGAAAAAGATGACAAGATGCATGAGGCTATTGGAGAATGTGAGTATAGACAGTGCTAGGTAATCATATTCATTTATAATTTATAAATCTACCTGTGATCTATCATGAATGCTGTTCTCTTATTGACTATGTTACTTATTATGTATTCTGTTGTAGACAGTGAGTTGTCTAGCAGCATGCAGTTGTCAACAAAATGTTGGCCGCTTATTTGCATTTCCAGTGTTTTTGAAGAGGATTTAGATAAAGTTTTGAATGAATAGCAGATAGGTTTATATTAAAACAATTAGATTGTTTGCTCTTGATTTTTATATGTGATATCACGCAATAGAAATTTCGAGCTCTTAATCTAATTGTTTTAAAATTGGAACTTCAACTTCCTACATTGGATATGTACATATCCATGATTGTCTGGCCACTCTTCTTAAGAATAACAAGCTCCCTTCCCTTTTAGCACAGATTTTTCATCCTGATAATTCACCAATCAATCCAGTTGACCCACATTTAAGCCTAGATGTATAACAAGAGCTAGTCATTTATACTCTCCAGGTCACAGTCCAGCATTCCGCTAACCAGGAGTACATGATTCTTTATGAAAAGGGATCTTTTGTGACTTCTTTGGTCAGGTAAAGGCTTAGAGCTTGATTAATTCTTCTGAAACTCATTAATAATTCATCAAGTTGAAACAAAGGAAATCATGACCGTGATGGTGTTTGGATATCTGATCTTAATTAGCATAGATTTTTACGATTTTATTTCTCCGTTTTCTCCTTAGTTTTAGTTTCGATTGAGAAGATATATCAAGCACTCAAGGCAGTGTTTGACTACATTTCTAAACACCTCGCAGTTCGTGAGAAATACTCCACTGTGCGTCATATTTTCAACTCTCCTCTCGGTGTTTGGAAATGTGGTCAAACATGGTCTTTCATGTTTGATTAAAATGATATATTACAACTAATAGTAAATTGTGTCGTTCCAGCAAATATTAATACCCTCCTATAACCAGGGTCATGTTTTGGTATGATCCTCCCCCCCCNTTTCACCCCATAAACTCCAGTTCAGCTTATACATACATGTATTCTTGGAAAAATTTACTAGGCTTTAATGTTCCCTCACCCCTTTGGAATTTCCAGTGTCCTTCTTTAGGGTGGGTATAAATATTTTCTGGAAAAACACAATGTCACTATAACACTGTAAATGAAAGTAGTTGCTGACTTTTTAAGGACAGACATAATTATTTCCAATAAAAAATGCCCTTGCTAAGGTTGAGACAAGTTTTCAAATTAGTTTTGAATGAATTGCTTATATAAAACATTTCAACCATCAGTAACCAAGTTCTTATGGTGCAAAAGTTTTTATTTAATAGACTGAGTTTAAAATGTCGTTTTAGGTTGTTGCAACTGTGTCTGAACACGCTCAACCATGGTGTTTCTCCAAAGCAAGCCAAGAAAAAACCAGACAAGGCATTTGAACATTGTTTCTTTAGCATTCTTAAAGTTTTCTTGAATCTGACTCACAACTTTGGTAAGTTCCTAGGGTCAAAAGTTATTACATTTTATGTGAATGCTATTATTGTTGATTCGGTTGAGTCCGAGACCAGTGGGACTACTGGAGGAAAAAATGGAACAACATTATTTTTCTTACCAAACTGGGCCAAGCGAGAGGAATGGCTCTTACTTTTTTTTATGCCGTTCCCCACATGAGTGAAATCTACTGAAGAGAAGTTGGGCAGTGAACTGGTTTGTCAAAATGTAGTGTCAAATTTTGATCCGACTGGTCAGACCGATGAAAGTAGACTTCCTTCCCTGAATATTCTGGTCAGATTGAATTGAAACAGACCTTTCCATTTGCCTTGCAACGGAAATTTCTGGAATTTTTGGCATAATGGAAAGAACCAAATCACACTTCCCCTTAGAAATTAGTCAGGATTTTTTTGTTTAGTTGCCAGACATGTATTTACCTTTCATTCTATAGAGGCAGGCAGCTCTTGTATTGGTCAACAGGATGACTTTCTTTCATCACTTCTGTTGACTGTTCTACAGGTTAGTCAACAACTTTCATAAACGTAGATTTAATTAAGTATTGGATTTTTTTTAACAATTTAAGTGTCTGTTATCAGTACCGTAATGATTTGATTTAGCACCCTTCTTCCAATAAGCGCCCCTTTTCGAATAACTGCCCCCCCCCCCTGCACTTGAGTGTGCCAATAAGTGTCCCTATTCTATCTAATACTATGATATTACAGCGCCTTCAGAATACGTATCAACGGAGGTTCATCTTCCCTAATTGCTCACACACGTATTGGTCTCCGTCTGAGTTTCTCAACTATTATGTCCATGTGAGTGCATAGTTCCTTCAAATGAATGATCTCTATCAGCGTCAAAATAGAGTAAAATTCTCTCATGTTAAGTGAACATTCACCTTATATTTGTTACTATTACAGTTTCTGCTATAATTGTTCCTTTTTACTGTATTAAAGTTTTGTTTTGAACATTCGGTTGTTTCTCAATAAAGCAATAAGTGCCCTGTCTTGAATAAGCACCCTCCCTTGAGGTACCCAAAGAAAATAAGTGGTTAGGGCACTAAGTTATATCATTATGGTAATTTACAGAACTCATGCCGCTTTCTCGTGCAGTCAGAAGTACTGTAAAACCCAAACAAATCCTGACTATGGTTTCCACAAGTTTTCCCGTACCTCATGTCAGCTTCATGCACTTACTCTGAGTTTTGATTACATGTAGCTTATTGGATTGTCTGTTTCCTTTGTGATTGGCTGGAGTGATTACTTTGGATTTGGTTTCATGACATTCATTTGAACTCCTGTCTCAGAGCGGTCTAATTATCTAAACTTAATCATCTTTCAATCATAGTTATTTTTCTCATAGTTGCCACAGTTTGTTACAGAGAGCAAGAGATTTGACTTACTTGTCCTGGTAAGTGTTCAAAAATTGAAAATAATAGATTCTGAATTATACTGTTAAATAATTATCTTATTCTGTGTATCTCAGTTTGTGTCACTATTGTACATACTACATGTACATCAATACATGTATGTACTTGAAGTGTTTTCCTTGTCCCTTGGGCAAGTCATGTCAAGGATTTACCTGTCCAGACCAATTACTACTTGTCCCTGTCAAAGTATCTGTTAGTACAGTTGAGTCTGTGGTCAAAATCAATATTCATTTGTCGAAAAATGCATACAAGCGAGGCGAAAACATTAATGTAAAGCAGAATAGACCTTTTGTCTTGTTTGTATGTCAAATTGAACTGTAATTATAACAACCATTAGGCAGAGGTTTTGGTGCACCCTGGTCCAACACATTGTTCTGCTGAATTGTGTCATTTCAATGTAGTAATAGTAGAATTGGTTGATTTACTGTCACTAGAGCTTGGAACTCTTGATTAACTTAGTGGAGGAGAGTAAACCGAACATTGCCTCCCTGGTTCAGCTGCGTACCTCCCCCTGCCACGAGAGTCAAGATAGTAGTCAAGAACAAGAAGATCATGGGGGACAACTCAGTTCAATTGAGGCCCTTGTTCAGCTGTTCCTCATTAGAGAACAAGCTGCTAGGAACACAGATGAGATGACATCAGGCTTATCAACAGAAGGTAAATGACGATGGACTGCATAAGTCAGAGTGATTAAAATCAAATTTCTCGTGGTAATTATTAATACAAACTCCATCACGCAGGTGATAAGAATTGACCAAATCATTATCAAATGGGATATAGACTGAGGCCCTTCATGTCAACTTTTCCAGTCCTACTTCATGTGAGCTAAGAAGTTGTTTTCTACTGAACTGGGAAAGTGGGACTGTACAGTGAACAGTATGATAAAATTACTTTTTTTATACACAACACAGTCAATTTGTTACATTCATTGGACAGGTATGTATTGCTCATGTCAACACAACTGTATAACAACTTTATTTTCTTAACAGAATGGAATCCTTAATTTTCTAACCCAGGGGAATGGAAATTGGCTCAAAAAATTGAGCATATTTCTTGCTCAGGCAGTAAGAATTTCTTTAAATGTGTCTGCCAAGGTAGTGTTCCAGATAAGTGAGGGGTCTCAAGTCAAAAACCCGACAAGGTCAGCCACATGGCCTAACAAATTTAAAATAAAAAATTGATAGTGATTTGCTGGGAGCAGTGGGAGTTGACCCATTGGAACTCCTTATTGACACCAGGCTACATTGCAAAATTAGCTGGAATCATGCAAGGGAGCAAAAAATTGCTTTACATGTAAATAACTGGGAGATTTCACTGTAGTGCTAACAATCATATTATTTTATGACTAAATCAGAGGAAAGTAGTCAAGAGTCTTTTAAACCAACAAAAGATGGCATGGGATGGATTTGTGGCGAAGATATCGATGTTTCTGTTGATGAAGGAAACAAGAAAGCTGCAGAAGTGCAAGAGGAAGAAGATGAAGTTCCACTGGAGGTACAACTTGGGAAAGGTGAGGCCATTGATCATTATTAGTTTATCACTTTCGTAGGGCTGTCAATAAGGGCTGTAACCCATACAACCTGTTATGGCTGAGTATGCTTGATGGACCCTTCATGTTATGGGTGAAGGTGCCTGTAGTTGACACAATTAATTCACCTATAAAGTACAAACAAGTTTGTTACAGGTGTAAAGATCAAGGTTACTGGTGAATCAAAACTTAATGACAGTGACGTTTGTGTGACAACTGTACGATCCCTTCATGCAGCTATACTTTTAAGATGAGAGGAAAATCACTATGTTTGCCCATTTTTAAGAGTATCACAGAAATCATTTTAAAAACATTTAACAGTTTGTAATGGTTTGGGGGAGGGAGGTGCTGTCTCAAAATTAGAGACATGGATTTTGAACCAAGTTTCAAGGTCCATAAGTTGGTCTCTGTTCACCCTAAAAGCATCAAAACTACTCAAATGACTAAATTATGATTTGATCTTTCATGGGGTGGTGTCAGTTTAATATCAGTTGGTTGAAATTTGAAACTTGCCCCAGTTCTCTGTGCAACTGTGAAATGGCAAATTTGTCTCTCATGGCATATTGATGGTGTATTAGGCTGAGAGTGGTAAAGCTGTTTTGGAGCCTTATACTCAATCCAAAGGAATTACCAGGTCTCTGTAAATTCGAGGTTAAATAAAGTATATGTATGTATGTATGTATGTATGTATGTATGTCTGTCTGTCTGTCTGTCTGTCTGTATGTCTGTCTGTCTGTATGTCTGTCTGTATGTCTGTCTGTCTGTCTGTCTGTCTGTCTTATCTTTGGTTTTTATAATGTGAAGTAACCACTGTCTTGCTACTCTTCTGGAAGGTGACACTAGTCCATTTTGTTGTTCCAGAAAATTTTTGTAACCCTAGTACAGAGGGTGTTTTGGTTTAACCTCCTCCCACCAATCTTTCTGAAAATTAACAATTTTTGGTACAGGGTTTTCTTTAAAAATTGTGACTTTGGAGACCTTCCCTCAACCTTGGAATTTGCAATACCCTCCTTTGGGTGGTCTGGATAATTTCTGAATCATACTTTGCACCCTAACTTCTGTCAGCTAGCCCTGTATCATGCCATTCTCTCTCAAGACTTATCTTTTGCAGCCTGAGTGAGGTCGCGTAAGATATGTCTAAATAACAAGATGTGCAAGAAGATACTAGTAACTCCTAGCAGAACCCTATCCATTTGTGTTTTTGTTACTATCATCATATATAATAAAACAATTTTTTTTTTGTACAGCTTTACAAAAGGCTGGAAAACACATGGAAGATAGTGTTGTGGCAGCTTATGTGGCTCTGCTTCTTGGCTGCATATTACAGGAGAATGAAGTTAGTATGAAAAGGGTCTTGTACTCGGTTGTAAATTTTATAGTATTTTACAGTAGCACGAAATAGTAAAAACATAGGAATTGAAAGGGAGTCATTGGATAGGTTTAATAAATGCAGTTGGATTTCAACTTAATTGTTTAACATTAATTAGCTCTTAAGGTCTCTCTTGGTCCAGAAATGGGAAGGTTCAGATTGTAAATATATATCTCCCTGCTTGAAAACCATGTGTGGATGTGAAAACTTTGTGATACATCTTAAAATGACTGTACATTGATTGTTATGAAATTTCCATCTATTGAAACTCTTAGCTACATTAATTTGCATTCTACCCTAGATGTCATCTCCAAAATGTCAGTGACTCCCAAGGAAGCAATACCTTCCAATGCAGCAAATGATTTAGTTGAATCTTTTCATTCAATAATATTATTGTTTTTCTGTACTTCTAAAGGCAAACCAGTGCTTTGTTCGTGGCCTTTTACCTGAAGGAGATTTTTCTCTTCTTGTCAATGTTTTGAGAAAATTTCTACGTTTCATGAAACTCACAGTAAGTAGTCAATAATTCCATGCTGTGCTGTTTTCATTGACTGGACGTTCCTCCAAATTTCCTTTTTGAAATGAAATTTTAGTTAACCATTGCTACTCTCTTGATTCAGTTTGTACTGGAAGCCATTTTTGAATAAAATAAATCATCTCAGACAAAACTGAAACTAAGAAATAAACAGGGATTGAAGTAAAATTATAAAAATCTATGCAAGTTTAAAAAATCAGTTATTTCAGGGCAGCCACAAATCAGGAAATGGTCAGGGGTTAAGACATTTTTCAAGATCAGGGAAAAGTCAGGAATTTTATTTTGAGTGAGGGAAAGTAGACATTTTAAAGAAATGTGGGAAAATTTACATGATTACTCTGCTGATTAAATACCGTTGAAGGCTTAGAAACATTTCAGGTCATTGTGATTTCCATGTTGTTTTTTCTTAATGAAAAAGAATGGCTGTGAGGAGTATGCTTGTAGCCTGCGAACAGGCTCCCGGCAAGGATGGGAAAAAAATTCAGCAAGTGCGAAACAGAAGAATTCAGAGAGCAAAGCAATCAGGGTGGGGCAGGGGAACCTGTAGACTTTGTTTTTGATGTGCCTATCCACCCTTGGCGATTAGCCTGTAACAAAATCAGTCATAATACAGATTGCAAGTAAGCAACATGTTCACAGAATATTTCAAACTTTGTCCCTCCAGAGAGAGAACGGCAAATGCACAATTGTCACAAACTGTAGGAGTCGTGTAATTTTACAAAGATCTGTCAAATATTTATCTCAAAGATGTCAACAATTAGCAATTCAACCAATCATTTTATGATACCAGGAGCTGGTATCACAGAACGGTGGCATCAGTAGAATGTCTACAGGCTCCCTTGCTTCATTTGGGCTCACCAAGAGCCTGTTTGCCGGCTGGTATGCTGCCATTACTGTATCTGACATTTTGTGTACTACCAGTATGTTAATTTTGGTCAGGGAAATTTTATTTTTATCAGGGAAAAATAAGGGAATTTGAAACCTGATTTCTGTGGCAACCATATAGTAATAATGTTCGAACCACTATCCCAGTTTGACTTGGTTATAGATTTCCTCCTCAAACTAAAATTTATTGTTGGTTTGAGGAAGCTGCCCCATCATGGGCATCACTTGAACCCAGGGATGCATCAGTGCATCATGAATTTAATCCTAAATACACCTCTTCATTAAGAATACCTTGATATTTATGGTTGATAAACTTTTTTTGTAGAGTGGTACAAGTGGACATGCCATTGAAAAGATAGTTAAAGTGTTGGAAAGTTGCCAGACAAAATGAGAAAGCCAAGCTATTTTGGAAAAGAAGATAATATCTATTACAACTTAGGAATTTAAGTTTAGTTTAGTGTATAATGTACTTTATTTCATGCAAAGCACAACTCAATCACAATCAATTCAGTAGTGTTGTACATATTCATCATAATATTTTTATTTTAATTTTCTTTTCTTTTTGCTTGATGCAGTAATTTCATTGGCAAAACTATGCATTCTTGATAATGAAGGGTACTATATCGATGAATCAAGATAATTCCTTGTTTCTCCATCACTTTGTACACAAGGGGTGCTTACCTTTTGTCCGAATACACCACGTGGAATGACTGTGGAATAATGGTAAGGTTTTACCAAAAATCAATTAATTGAAATAATTGATTAAATTAATCAACAAAGCAAGCAAACCATGTGGCGCATACAATTTGATTTCCCATAATTTTTTTCCGCTGAGGAAAGATTGTAAACTAGAAAATTCAGCAAAGAGTAAGGAAATTTCCACCAGTCCCTTCCATTCCAAACAGAAAAAGAGGACTACCTCGGGATGTAGTCGTCAATTTCTGAACAGATTTTTCGTAAAATTACTCAACATGCATTTGACTTTCAACCAAAATTTCTGGACTTTTTGGCTTAATGGTACACACTCTATGGGGCTGGCTGACTCTTTACATAACTGTTATAATATTAAAAACTCATGTGAAAACATGCAAGTCTCATAACTGGAAGACACTTCCCATGTAATCACAAACTGTTTTCAGACCTTGCAGAAGCATATTATCTATTTTTTTCGTGTCTCTCTCATATTAGTCCACTGTCATGACCAGTGTATGGCAGTGATACCAACCTCATGAAGTAACCTTGTGCAATGTAGAAAAAAAAAAACCTGTTCTAATAGACCTGCATTGGTGGATTGTTCTGTTGTGATAGCAGAGTGTAGGCCTAGTGTAGGTCTGTCTACAGAAGTGGTACCAAACTTATGAAGTAGCCTGGTACAATGTAGAAAAAAAAAAACCTGTTCTAATAAACATGCATTGATGGATTGTTCTGTTGTGATAGTAGAGTTATAAGCCTGTGTACATTAGCCTCCTTCCCCATTTAATTTGGGAAGGAAGTAAATGTACTTCAGCTGGTGGATTTTATCCCCAAGTTACCTGCCAGCAATAGGCAATAAGATATGCTTTTTGGACATATTACAGGTAAGACCGGGCTACCACACACAATCATTCCGACTTTCCCAAAGGGCAACAGCAAAAATATATTTCCTTGATTTAGTCAGACTGAAATGTTATGCAATCTTATGGTCCAAATTGGTCACGTTGACGGAGTTCTTCTGTATATTTATTTGAATTATCGTTATTGAGTGCAAGTTAACATTTAAAAATAAATGAAACTTTCTATAGCCTCGAGCGGGCTCTAGTGTTTGAGTTTTGTGCTCAAGTGCTACTAACAGGCTTTTCGCTTTGGGAGTTTATGACACGAGAGCCTGCTCATGGTCTGGATTTTCTATGACACAAGCCACAGTGCAGATATTGTTATCTCTCAACATAATTTCAAATTAATCACCAACATCTTTGATGCTTAAACATATCTATGTCTCAAGGGTCTTAATTTCAGATTCACACTAACAAAAATAAAAGTAAATAGTCCAGTTCTGGCCCTCTCTCCGTCATTCAACATAACATAGAAAGGGCCAGACAAAATCTCACATGTCCAGATGTAAGACTGCTATCAATTAGTAAATTCTTGTCACTAATGATATTAGTGTCAGTGACATTAATATTATTGGTATAAATAATTTAATATGTTGTCACTAATTGACCGTAATAGGGTATTGAGGCTGCAAGTCAGCGATGGTTATTTTACCTTTTAGTTAGTTTGTTACGTAGCTCACAATAAATTCTTTTGGAAGATTTGATCAGATACAAGTGGTTGGAGTGTTTTGGTTTGTTTATTTTCCTGGGCAACATATCCTAGACTCTTCAGGTAATGATCATAGGTAGCTCATAAAGCTGGCAATTCACGCCAATATCAGTATCAGCATAAAGCTTATAATTATCCTAAAATGTGGAAATAATTATGCTAATATGCACTAGGCTAAAAAAGGCCATGGGTCTTGTAACATTTTTGTCCAATATTTCATGGGTCTTGCTGTCTCGTTTTTGTTTAGTGGTTATGTGCATCTTGCAGTCTTGATTCTTTCACAAGCGGTCTTGGAGTCTTGATTTCCCTGCTAGACCAAAAAACCCTCGAAGTCCCGATCTGTTTGGATGTTTGTTTCCATGAATGACATCTGAATAGCTTAGAGTCAGAATTTCTCTTGCTTGCATTTGCAACACTCTCGAGGTCTTGGTCTTGCAAAGAAAAACAGTAGTCTTACCTTCTTGGCAAGCCCTCGCATTTACCATTCACAATGCCCATGGTTATCAGAAAGTACACAAAGTTGATTTAGTAAAAGCCAGGGTTGACAGAGATGCTGTAACTGGCCGACCCAGGCTTTTGTTACACTGTACACACCCTAGGCTGTCTGTCATTGTTCCATTTTACTGCATCCAAAATTAAACGCCTTTGCCACTGTCCTGATTTCCTACGATATCGGTTACAAGTAGCCGTCAATTTCTATAATAGCTAAATTAATTTATGATAGTTTCGCCCTGAATAATTTGTCCAGTTATTGGTGTTTTGCGGTCACCAATGAACTGATACCTTCATTGACGTGTCTGAGCGAATGTAAACAAAATAAGTAAACACATCCACGATATTTTATGAACATCATTGCCTATCTCTGCCGACTTTGTTACATTATAAACCACACTACGCCAACCAATAAAACTCCTTGAATTCCAAACAGTACCAGAGCAAGAATTAACGCTACAGATACGATTGGTTCGACGACATTTTGACCTAAATTCCAGCGAGGAAATCCGGCAGAGATCAGGCGGTTATTCAGTTGATCAAATATGGACCCCCCTTGTTGTTCCTGAGGTGGATTTTGGCTGTGAGACCATTGCTGTTGTGACTGTCGCTGCTGTTGTTCCTGCCTTCTTCCGCGGTTTCGAAACTCTTGAGCGCGAGGGTCGTTATCTTGTACAATTTCTCCGTTAATTATTGTCACCATTTTTAACTTTTTAGCTGATCTTGGACGGAACAAACATTGAACAAAAGTATAAACTGCGTGACAATTCAATATGGCGACGAAACCGGGAAGGACTGGATCGATTTCGTGGAATGGCTTCATGTATGAATACACGAAGATCCACCTGCCTTCACTCACTTCACTCGTCATATTTGCACTCGGTGTAGATCACTGAAGGCGTTTAGTTTTCTGCAGATTGCGTGAAAGCTTATACGTTAAAGTAAAGGTTAACACGGACATTAGTTATACTATAAGTACTTGCGAATTTTTAATCTCTGTAATTAAGCTTATAAATAGTAGACTAAAGTACAGATTGATAGAAGCCGATATCTTAAAATTCTAACTTGGCTCCGAGGTCAAGGGAAATAAAACAAAAGAAATAATTATTTATTTATCCCTCAACCTGGACTTGATGATTTTTGCTTTATTCCCCTCCTTCCCACGTGAGCAAGTCTGAATTTTAATAAGTTTCAAGAGCAGCATCCCAACGCACGTTTTTTGAAACGCAAATTTCCTTACGATAATACCGTTTTTTTTTTTACAAACTCAACTCTTTTTTCACGGTATCAAGCACTCATTTAGAACAAAGACTTTCTATCAATAAAATTTTACTGTCCCAATCAAACATTCTGATGTTGCTTTCTATCGCCGGCATATCGCTATGTTGTCTGAGCTGACTTGAGTGATTTTGATCAATATATCCTGTAATGTATGCTTTTATAAAACACAATTGCACTTACCTGGACATACCTTGTTTTTTAACTGAATTAGGAGCTCCATAAAACAAAACACCAATTTGAAAATTGCCGCCATTAACACGTGGAACCCCATTTTTACCCCACATAAGCGCGGTTAGCACTGGGCACCAGGTTAAAACACAACCAATGGTAGACAATGTACCACCCCCAAGATGACAAAATTATCCCTCCAGATCACACTAAACAGGGCGTCCACGCAAGACTTGACATACACACGTGCACTCTACACCAAACCCAACGTCAGGCTAGCAATGTTAGCTCAGTCACGGTTTGCGCATATTGAAAAGTTTACCTCAATTTTTCAAATAATTCGTCGTTTGTAATCGGTGTTAATCTTCCCCATCCTTAGCCATCTTTCTTCCTTTATGGTTAATCATTATGTCTTTGGTGTTTTTCTATGTTATTAAACTGTTATTTTCAGGTTTCCTACCATTTAAAGGTAATTTTGTATGTGGCCAAAATAACTCAAAATACCGTGATTGAGATCCTTTAAGAGACATAGTCATGCCCGGGATGTATGTGTGTGTGTGGCCGGGGAGGGGGGGGAGGGGCGAAAGGTATATCTGGGCGTGGCTCAAGCTTTATAAAAGACCAAAATGACACCACTTTGAAACGGACAGAAAGCGTTTTGTCATTGTTTTCTTCGAGTGAAACCCTAAAAGATACTTGATGCTTAAAAAATAGTGGCGTTTCGTCGTGAACACCTCGAGACTAAAATCCTTGATGAGACGACGAGCATCCCCGACTTTTTCACATCGGAGACCCCCCGGAGGGGGGGGAGGTTATGCATTTAAGCAATAGCCCTTTTCACGGTTAGTTTTTCGCATTTGCATTACAGTGTGATCCAACGTGGACGCGAGGTAATTTCGGGCTGAAACTAGAAAGTAGTAAAATTGCCTCACAAACATGCTAGATTATATTGCAATGTAAATGAAAATGAGAAATCTAAACTGTGAAAAGAGCTATTCTACGCACCAGTTCTTTTAAAGCACACTCGTCTGTCTTAAATCTAGACAATCCAAGAAAGCTTATTAAAACACAAAATGAATTGAAAAAGAACCTTAAAACATTTCTTTTTTGTAATAGTTTTTAACCTAGTCATATATTTTAATAATTGCATCTTTTAGTTAGGTTTTTATTCTTTTTAATCACATGCAATTGTAAGCGCATTGAGAATTCTAAATGTGCAATAAGAAACTTATTATTATTATTATTATTATTATTATTATTATTATTAAAAAAAAGAGGTATATACAAGGTAAAAGTAAGTAAAAGAAATAAACTATTAAAACCTATTTCAACAGTGTTTACATAATGGCTCCCTCCTCTCATATTAGTCTGCGAATGGAGACGTGATGACAGCCGGAAATACGTCTACTTTCGAAGGAAGTTAGTTCTCAGTCGCCACTCTCTAAAATCGCGAAATAAGTCATAAATTCTCGAGATAACTTCGTTTCTGGCATATCTTTCCGTAAATTTTATTACCACGTTACAGTAAATCTAGATACAACATAATTTCAGTTCTACTTCGAGTACAACTGTGTCTTCACGTAACAAAATAACTCCGCTCTGGTTTTAAGAAATACTTTTAATCAACCTATTTTAAAGATGATGATCATAACAATAATAATAATAATAATAATAATAATAATAATAATAATAATAATAATAATAAAAAGACAATAAAATCATTTATATGTACAGCTACAAAAATCACTAAAAGACGTTAAGTTAGAGCGGTGTTCAACTGAGTGTCGTAAAACCAAAACCAAAGTAATCACTCTGGCCAATCACGAAAGACGCTGACAATACAGTGAACCAATCAAAACTCGAAGTAATTTCATGTAGCTGACGCAAAGCACGGGAAAATGAATGCGCGCGAGTCATGATTGGTTTTGGTCTAGCTTCTGACTGAATGAAAAGGTGGCGCTCAAGCGAAAGCCGCTCTATATCATTATGTTATCTATAATCAATCAACGTCATTAATTACAACAATAGAGCTGTTTTCAATTGAGTGTCGTAAAAAACAAATCCAAATAAATTACTTAGCAATTATACTACACAGCCAATCTCAAATCGTGGTAAAACCAAAATCAAAACCAAAACCAATTGAAAGTAACTGTTTGACTACTCAACTGAAAACCCCTCTATATCTGTTTCTTGTCCCTTTAAGATAACCAGTAATATCTTTGGTCACACTGGTGATACCTAATTTCATGATCATGTAAAACAATTGCTCCATTTCAAAAGTAGATAAACATTCTGGTCTGATTTCATCAAAGCTATAAGATGTAAATTATTTTATTACTCATAAATTAACCTTACTGTTAATCGGTAAGATAGAACTTCAAACACTAAACAAACAAAATTATCCACAGAAACACACACACAAAGTTCAAATTATTCTATTAGATAATTCCAATTCGGCTTGACGTGAAGGAAAAACTGCGTTGAAAGTAATCATTTTCGGACATCATCAAGAACAACCCTCACATGTTTCCAGCATATTAAATATGAGGAATATAATTTTTTATCAAAATTACATGACGTAAATGATTCACTGATTTAGGAGATAAAAATAGCTCTTGCTTTCTGATCCTCTGAAAGTACCCAAAGAATTTCTGGCTGATCAAAGTATATAAATAAATTATGTAAATATTTTGCAATGCATACTGGAAGTTAGCATGACTGCATGTCCGGTAACATTGAGCTCTTTATCCACTTGCAGTTGATAAAAGTACAGTCGAACCCCTATTGAGCAGCCACTTATTAAATGGCCACCTTTACTAGGCGGCCAGTAATCAAGTCTTCATGAGGGCTTTTCTATTGTTTTTACCTCTATTAAGCCACCAGCCCCCTTCTTAAGCGGCCACTATCCATTTCCCCTAGGGTGGCCTTTTAATAAGGGTTGCACTGTATATTAATATCCATAGTGAGTTAGTGAGGCTGATGTCAGAGCAAAGTGATAGGATTGTGGGTTGGAACTGTGCAGTAGGACTACAGCACTATAGGCAACACATGTGTCTTCTTTAATAATAATTCGTTAACATGAAAAATGGTTTTACATTTAACTGTTAGCTGACTGTCAGCGTAAGCTGAGTTCTGCAACTTCAAAAAAAAAAAGAAAAAACACTTGTACAACTCTATACAATCCAGAGCAAAATCTAAAACAGGAATTATGGCTTAGAATGCTGATTGACTCATTCAGTCAGCAAGTCTAATGGTTAGACCTTATTAAGTTTCATTTTTGCGACATAAAAATAAAACCCTAATCCTACATTGAAGTCAAACTTTACCAGCAGTTGGCTTAGTCTGATATGTAGCCTATTGAATACCACACTGAATTGTGAGGGAGGCAAAGTGCCAGGACAAACATGTACAGTTGTACCCCACTAATGCACTGGTCACCCAAAGGCAGACACCTCTTGTTAATAGACACTTAGTGATCATCTCGTCGCCACTTTATATAATTATCGAGACACTTCATGTATGACCTCCCATCCCACAGCCAACTCCCTTACACGAATACTTTTTCATGTCCCAAGCCAATCCACTTATAGGAGGTTGACTGTATTCTCCCATTGCATCTTTTCAGTACTCCCAGCCTTTAACTTAAAAACTAAAATAATTTGTTATAAAATAATACTTAAAGTGCCCACACGACTTAAAGTTCATTGTTTCTTATAAATCTGTTTCCTTCTGAATGCTTGCCTTGGTAGATGAACCGGCTACGCCCAAAGGTTCCTCTGTGATCTCCTGGGGTTATGGAGTTGTTGGGTAATGGAGTGTAATGTGGTCTTTCCATGCTCTCTTCGTACTGAGAAGCCTGTGGATCAACAACAATCAAGATATAAGTAAATAAATGCGATTTGTCATGAAGACAAATTCTGAGTCCCTGATGCAAGTGGAATACAAGACCTGCCACGTATCAGCTGGATGTTGCAATGGACTAGCATCCCATCCAGGGAGGGGTAAAAATACTGCCAGTTGCTTACAGAAACCCAGGATAAGCTCTGCGTGTATGAGCCTCTGAGCTGATGCACACGTAACCCAGGTTACCTTATCAAGGTGGCAATGTACACGTAAGAAAAGTCACGAGGAGCCCAAAGGTACCTAACCATGAAATCCTGAGTGCCCAGCACTTAAGCTTATATGAAAAAAGTATTAAGTTTTTCCAGTCACCTAAAGGTAAAAGTTAGTCCCCGGTGGCATCCGCGTGCTCCTAGAGCACAGCCCTGCTTATGAACAACCTTAGCATTTACCATCTTTCTTTCTCTCAATAAAATCAAGTTGTCAGTAACACATGAACATTGCATCAGCTGTACAGAAACCCTAATTTCAACATAAAACAATCAAGTTGATAGGTTTTTACTGACCAACTCATCAGAGGAAGGAGCCACAATCTTCATGTATGCACCCACTCTCTGTGCTTCATCCTTCTCCTCCTTTTTAATAGGTCTTGAGTCGAGAAATGTTAAATTCGGCAAGCGATAAAGGATGTAATATCTGCCAAAACAATCATATGCAAGGCTTAGGAATCCTGTTGATAAATGCAATAAATGGCATTTCCAAAATGGCTAAATCTATATGTATGCATCTTTTCGATTCTTGTTTCTCTTCTGATTGCCTATTTGTCACGTTATGGGCCTCGGAACATCCAAAGAGATGAATCACCATTGGATGATCCTGAAGCTAGCGTGCAATCACAGATGGATTTCTGGCTTTTGTTTCACACTACTGAAATTTTTTTTACATTGTGAAACAAAAATCTGAAGTTTGTCTACATGTGTTTGTGGGCTATCCTGAAGCAAAGCAAGCCTCAGGGATTTAATTATCTCATCTTAGGATGAAATTTGATTTTATTAATTATCTCACATTGAGATGAAATTGGTGTGAGGAAGTTACCTGTATCGCTGATAGTCTTCCTCGTCCCTGAGTGAAGATGAGAGCTCGTTTGGACAGGCTTGGTTATTTAGCAGACTAATGTACTTTAACGAAGGGAGATTCTTGGAAATCTTGTCCAAGAGTACATCTAGATTGGCTATGTGCTAAAGTTAAGGACAATTTGTCTCACTAAGAATTATTTTCGTTAAATTAACATTAAGTTCAAGGTAAAGCACAGACCATATAGCTTGCAAACAATTAATATTAATATTTAGATCTTACCCTAGTTTCCATATTAAATAATATTATGAGATTAAGTTATGTGAATGTTTCCTCAAGGCAAACATTTGCCAAGACTTTCACTCCAATGCCTGGTTGTTCAAAGCATGATCAAATATTGATTTCAGTTTTGAATCTTTTCCATGCATTTTTTTTCTTTCAGACACCGAGTCCCCAAACTTCCCCCTATCCACCCCTCTCTTCCAAATAAAATTGATTAAAGTGTGGGATCAGGGACTTCCTGATGACAATGAAGCCTCTGTGAACAGGATTGGCATTACAGCTCATGCAGGGAAACATATTCCAATATTTTAGCTATTAACTTTTCTGATTTGATGTTGATCCATCACCGTGGACTGGTTTTACTTCTTTTACTAATTATAATTACCGTTTTGAGTAAATTTCTTTTTCAGACTCATATCTGATTTAAAGGTCAAGATCAAGCTGATCTAAAGGATATTCTATTCTTGTTTAATGTGAGTGTGTGCAAATGAGTCAATTCAGGAATTTCCATGTCATCTCCCAGCTGGTTGTTATCAAGGATGAGTTCCTCAAGTTTCACAAAACTGTTGAGGCCATTAAGTGTTCTGTTGAGAGAATAACAAAAACATAGTTTAGCCGGCATATAATGGCAGGGATAGAATTTGACTTACTTTTCACACTATTTGTCATATGGACAAGTAAAATTTGTGCAAGTAAATTAAAAACATGCTTGAGAATGCATTTGAGTGCCTGTTATTAATGCAGATAATTAATAATCAAACTTGATATGTTTCCCAGTCATGACTCAGTGGGACTTTGTCAGGCCTGCATCAATGTTTTCAAAACAAGCCGGTGACCGCCGGAGTTCCACCCACTTCTTGATCAATTCTATATTGCCAGTTACTCTGGTTACAGCAATCAACTTGTGACAAACAAGCTTGGCATTGCGTCTCATTGACAAATCTTTAAGACAGCAGAGTACGCGTAGCTTCACACTAAATTTTGCAGCAATAATCATTTATGCAATAGGAAGTAAGCTTGTTAAAAAGAAATTTCAAGCATCTGCTGTATTTTGTGCCCTTCACATTATCATGTTTTTGTAGCCATCTTGTAGTTTTAAATATAAAGTGGCCAGGCCAACCTCCTCTGGGTGTCACCTCTAGCATCATGGCCACAAAAGGATCGTGAAAAACTGATCTCTTTTCTTTTGGCTTCAAAAAGTCACACTTGACAGGTAGGTGAAAAATTTGGCCAATACACACAAGTAATCACTTAGTAAGTTGTCGGACTTTGCCATTGTTCATGCGGCCATATGATTACTTTGTTGTAAGATAAGGCAGAAGATCATGGCCCACTATAAATAATATTTAATTAAAAGATAAAATGAAAATTCTTGAATTTAAATAGCATGAGAATTGGAATTTAAAATTATGCTGCTAATTAATAGCAACAATTTGAGCTTGTGAGCACAAATATTTTCCCCTTCGGCCGTTGACTTCTGGGGAGTAATTTGCATATATGTGGAAGGGAAGCTAAATCTAAACCTGCTTTCGAAATGTGACTGTGCTGTTTCATGGATTTCCACCTTANGGGGGGGGAGGTTATGCATTTAAGCAATAGCCCTTTTCACGGTTAGTTTTTCGCATTTGCATTACAGTGTGATCCAACGTGGACGCGAGGTAATTTCGGGCTGAAACTAGAAAGTAGTAAAATTGCCTCACAAACATGCTAGATTATATTGCAATGTAAATGAAAATGAGAAATCTAAACTGTGAAAAGAGCTATTCTACGCACCAGTTCTTTTAAAGCACACTCGTCTGTCTTAAATCTAGACAATCCAAGAAAGCTTATTAAAACACAAAATGAATTGAAAAAGAACCTTAAAACATTTCTTTTTTGTAATAGTTTTTAACCTAGTCATATATTTTAATAATTGCATCTTTTAGTTAGGTTTTTATTCTTTTTAATCACATGCAATTGTAAATGCATTGAGAATTCTAAATGTGCAATAAGAAACTTATTATTATTATTATTATTATTATCATTAAAAAAGAGGTATATACAAGGTAAAAGTAAGTAAAAGAAATAAACTATTAAAACCTATTTCAACAGTGTTTACATAATGGCTCCCTCCTCTCATATTAGTCTGCGAATGGAGACGTGATGACAGCCGGAAATACGTCTACTTTCGAAGGAAGTTAGTTCTCAGTCGCCACTCTCTAAAATCGCGAAATAAGTCATAAATTCTCGAGATAACTTCGTTTCTGGCATATCTTTCCGTAAATTTTATTACCACGTTACAGTAAATCTAGATACAACATAATTTCAGTTCTACTTCGAGTACAACTGTGTCTTCACGTAACAAAATAACTCCGCTCTGGTTTTAAGAAATACTTTTAATCAACCTATTTTAAAGATGATGATCATAACAATAATAATAATAATAATAATAATAATAATAATAATAATAATAATAATAATAATAAAAAGACAATAAAATCATTTATATGTACAGCTACAAAAATCACTAAAAGACGTTAAGTTAGAGCGGTGTTCAACTGAGTGTCGTAAAACCAAAACCAAAGTAATCACTCTGGCCAATCACGAAAGACGCTGACAATACAGTGAACCAATCAAAACTCGAAGTAATTTCATGTAGCTGACGCAAAGCACGGGAAAATGAATGCGCGCGAGTCATGATTGGTTTTGGTCTAGCTTCTGACTGAATGAAAAGGTGGCGCTCAAGCGAAAGCCGCTCTATATCATTATGTTATCTATAATCAATCAACGTCATTAATTACAACAATAGAGCTGTTTTCAATTGAGTGTCGTAAAAAACAAATCCAAATAAATTACTTAGCAATTATACTACACAGCCAATCTCAAATCGTGGTAAAACCAAAATCAAAACCAAAACCAATTGAAAGTAACTGTTTGACTACTCAACTGAAAACCCCTCTATATCTGTTTCTTGTCCCTTTAAGATAACCAGTAATATCTTTGGTCACACTGGTGATACCTAATTTCATGATCATGTAAAACAATTGCTCCATTTCAAAAGTAGATAAACATTCTGGTCTGATTTCATCAAAGCTATAAGATGTAAATTATTTTATTACTCATAAATTAACCTTACTGTTAATCGGTAAGATAGAACTTCAAACACTAAACAAACAAAATTATCCACAGAAACACACACACAAAGTTCAAATTATTCTATTAGATAATTCCAATTCGGCTTGACGTGAAGGAAAAACTGCGTTGAAAGTAATCATTTTCGGACATCATCAAGAACAACCCTCACATGTTTCCAGCATATTAAATATGAGGAATATAATTTTTTATCAAAATTACATGACGTAAATGATTCACTGATTTAGGAGATAAAAATAGCTCTTGCTTTCTGATCCTCTGAAAGTACCCAAAGAATTTCTGGCTGATCAAAGTATATAAATAAATTATGTAAATATTTTGCAATGCATACTGGAAGTTAGCATGACTGCATGTCCGGTAACATTGAGCTCTTTATCCACTTGCAGTTGATAAAAGTACAGTCGAACCCCTATTGAGCAGCCACTTATTAAATGGCCACCTTTACTAGGCGGCCAGTAATCAAGTCTTCATGAGGGCTTTTCTATTGTTTTTACCTCTATTAAGCCACCAGCCCCCTTCTTAAGCGGCCACTATCCATTTCCCCTAGGGTGGCCTTTTAATAAGGGTTGCACTGTATATTAATATCCATAGTGAGTTAGTGAGGCTGATGTCAGAGCAAAGTGATAGGATTGTGGGTTGGAACTGTGCAGTAGGACTACAGCACTATAGGCAACACATGTGTCTTCTTTAATAATAATTCGTTAACATGAAAAATGGTTTTACATTTAACTGTTAGCTGACTGTCAGCGTAAGCTGAGTTCTGCAACTTCAAAAAAAAAAAGAAAAAACACTTGTACAACTCTATACAATCCAGAGCAAAATCTAAAACAGGAATTATGGCTTAGAATGCTGATTGACTCATTCAGTCAGCAAGTCTAATGGTTAGACCTTATTAAGTTTCATTTTTGCGACATAAAAATAAAACCCTAATCCTACATTGAAGTCAAACTTTACCAGCAGTTGGCTTAGTCTGATATGTAGCCTATTGAATACCACACTGAATTGTGAGGGAGGCAAAGTGCCAGGACAAACATGTACAGTTGTACCCCACTAATGCACTGGTCACCCAAAGGCAGACACCTCTTGTTAATAGACACTTAGTGATCATCTCGTCGCCACTTTATATAATTATCGAGACACTTCATGTATGACCTCCCATCCCACAGCCAACTCCCTTACACGAATACTTTTTCATGTCCCAAGCCAATCCACTTATAGGAGGTTGACTGTATTCTCCCATTGCATCTTTTCAGTACTCCCAGCCTTTAACTTAAAAACTAAAATAATTTGTTATAAAATAATACTTAAAGTGCCCACACGACTTAAAGTTCATTGTTTCTTATAAATCTGTTTCCTTCTGAATGCTTGCCTTGGTAGATGAACCGGCTACGCCCAAAGGTTCCTCTGTGATCTCCTGGGGTTATGGAGTTGTTGGGTAATGGAGTGTAATGTGGTCTTTCCATGCTCTCTTCGTACTGAGAAGCCTGTGGATCAACAACAATCAAGATATAAGTAAATAAATGCGATTTGTCATGAAGACAAATTCTGAGTCCCTGATGCAAGTGGAATACAAGACCTGCCACGTATCAGCTGGATGTTGCAATGGACTAGCATCCCATCCAGGGAGGGGTAAAAATACTGCCAGTTGCTTACAGAAACCCAGGATAAGCTCTGCGTGTATGAGCCTCTGAGCTGATGCACACGTAACCCAGGTTACCTTATCAAGGTGGCAATGTACACGTAAGAAAAGTCACGAGGAGCCCAAAGGTACCTAACCATGAAATCCTGAGTGCCCAGCACTTAAGCTTATATGAAAAAAGTATTAAGTTTTTCCAGTCACCTAAAGGTAAAAGTTAGTCCCCGGTGGCATCCGCGTGCTCCTAGAGCACAGCCCTGCTTATGAACAACCTTAGCATTTACCATCTTTCTTTCTCTCAATAAAATCAAGTTGTCAGTAACACATGAACATTGCATCAGCTGTACAGAAACCCTAATTTCAACATAAAACAATCAAGTTGATAGGTTTTTACTGACCAACTCATCAGAGGAAGGAGCCACAATCTTCATGTATGCACCCACTCTCTGTGCTTCATCCTTCTCCTCCTTTTTAATAGGTCTTGAGTCGAGAAATGTTAAATTCGGCAAGCGATAAAGGATGTAATATCTGCCAAAACAATCATATGCAAGGCTTAGGAATCCTGTTGATAAATGCAATAAATGGCATTTCCAAAATGGCTAAATCTATATGTATGCATCTTTTCGATTCTTGTTTCTCTTCTGATTGCCTATTTGTCACGTTATGGGCCTCGGAACATCCAAAGAGATGAATCACCATTGGATGATCCTGAAGCTAGCGTGCAATCACAGATGGATTTCTGGCTTTTGTTTCACACTACTGAAATTTTTTTTACATTGTGAAACAAAAATCTGAAGTTTGTCTACATGTGTTTGTGGGCTATCCTGAAGCAAAGCAAGCCTCAGGGATTTAATTATCTCATCTTAGGATGAAATTTGATTTTATTAATTATCTCACATTGAGATGAAATTGGTGTGAGGAAGTTACCTGTATCGCTGATAGTCTTCCTCGTCCCTGAGTGAAGATGAGAGCTCGTTTGGACAGGCTTGGTTATTTAGCAGACTAATGTACTTTAACGAAGGGAGATTCTTGGAAATCTTGTCCAAGAGTACATCTAGATTGGCTATGTGCTAAAGTTAAGGACAATTTGTCTCACTAAGAATTATTTTCGTTAAATTAACATTAAGTTCAAGGTAAAGCACAGACCATATAGCTTGCAAACAATTAATATTAATATTTAGATCTTACCCTAGTTTCCATATTAAATAATATTATGAGATTAAGTTATGTGAATGTTTCCTCAAGGCAAACATTTGCCAAGACTTTCACTCCAATGCCTGGTTGTTCAAAGCATGATCAAATATTGATTTCAGTTTTGAATCTTTTCCATGCATTTTTTTTCTTTCAGACACCGAGTCCCCAAACTTCCCCCTATCCACCCCTCTCTTCCAAATAAAATTGATTAAAGTGTGGGATCAGGGACTTCCTGATGACAATGAAGCCTCTGTGAACAGGATTGGCATTACAGCTCATGCAGGGAAACATATTCCAATATTTTAGCTATTAACTTTTCTGATTTGATGTTGATCCATCACCGTGGACTGGTTTTACTTCTTTTACTAATTATAATTACCGTTTTGAGTAAATTTCTTTTTCAGACTCATATCTGATTTAAAGGTCAAGATCAAGCTGATCTAAAGGATATTCTATTCTTGTTTAATGTGAGTGTGTGCAAATGAGTCAATTCAGGAATTTCCATGTCATCTCCCAGCTGGTTGTTATCAAGGATGAGTTCCTCAAGTTTCACAAAACTGTTGAGGCCATTAAGTGTTCTGTTGAGAGAATAACAAAAACATAGTTTAGCCGGCATATAATGGCAGGGATAGAATTTGACTTACTTTTCACACTATTTGTCATATGGACAAGTAAAATTTGTGCAAGTAAATTAAAAACATGCTTGAGAATGCATTTGAGTGCCTGTTATTAATGCAGATAATTAATAATCAAACTTGATATGTTTCCCAGTCATGACTCAGTGGGACTTTGTCAGGCCTGCATCAATGTTTTCAAAACAAGCCGGTGACCGCCGGAGTTCCACCCACTTCTTGATCAATTCTATATTGCCAGTTACTCTGGTTACAGCAATCAACTTGTGACAAACAAGCTTGGCATTGCGTCTCATTGACAAATCTTTAAGACAGCAGAGTACGCGTAGCTTCACACTAAATTTTGCAGCAATAATCATTTATGCAATAGGAAGTAAGCTTGGTAACAAGAAATTTCAAGCATCTGCTGTATTTTGTGCCCTTCACATTATCATGTTTTTGTAGCCATCTTGTAGTTTTAAATATAAAGTGGCCAGGCCAACCTCCTCTGGGTGTCACCTCTAGCATCATGGCCACAAAAGGATCGTGAAAAACTGATCTCTTTTCTTTTGGCTTCAAAAAGTCACACTTGACAGGTAGGTGAAAAATTTGGCCAATACACACAAGTAATCACTTAGTAAGTTGTCGGACTTTGCCATTGTTCATGCGGCCATATGATTACTTTGTTGTAAGATAAGGCAGAAGATCATGGCCCACTATAAATAATATTTAATTAAAAGATAAAATGAAAATTCTTGAATTTNGGGGGGGGAGGTTATGCATTTAAGCAATAGCCCTTTTCACGGTTAGTTTTTCGCATTTGCATTACAGTGTGATCCAACGTGGACGCGAGGTAATTTCGGGCTGAAACTAGAAAGTAGTAAAATTGCCTCACAAACATGCTAGATTATATTGCAATGTAAATGAAAATGAGAAATCTAAACTGTGAAAAGAGCTATTCTACGCACCAGTTCTTTTAAAGCACACTCGTCTGTCTTAAATCTAGACAATCCAAGAAAGCTTATTAAAACACAAAATGAATTGAAAAAGAACCTTAAAACATTTCTTTTTTGTAATAGTTTTTAACCTAGTCATATATTTTAATAATTGCATCTTTTAGTTAGGTTTTTATTCTTTTTAATCACATGCAATTGTAAATGCATTGAGAATTCTAAATGTGCAATAAGAAACTTATTATTATTATTATTATTATTATCATTAAAAAAGAGGTATATACAAGGTAAAAGTAAGTAAAAGAAATAAACTATTAAAACCTATTTCAACAGTGTTTACATAATGGCTCCCTCCTCTCATATTAGTCTGCGAATGGAGACGTGATGACAGCCGGAAATACGTCTACTTTCGAAGGAAGTTAGTTCTCAGTCGCCACTCTCTAAAATCGCGAAATAAGTCATAAATTCTCGAGATAACTTCGTTTCTGGCATATCTTTCCGTAAATTTTATTACCACGTTACAGTAAATCTAGATACAACATAATTTCAGTTCTACTTCGAGTACAACTGTGTCTTCACGTAACAAAATAACTCCGCTCTGGTTTTAAGAAATACTTTTAATCAACCTATTTTAAAGATGATGATCATAACAATAATAATAATAATAATAATAATAATAATAATAATAATAATAATAATAATAATAAAAAGACAATAAAATCATTTATATGTACAGCTACAAAAATCACTAAAAGACGTTAAGTTAGAGCGGTGTTCAACTGAGTGTCGTAAAACCAAAACCAAAGTAATCACTCTGGCCAATCACGAAAGACGCTGACAATACAGTGAACCAATCAAAACTCGAAGTAATTTCATGTAGCTGACGCAAAGCACGGGAAAATGAATGCGCGCGAGTCATGATTGGTTTTGGTCTAGCTTCTGACTGAATGAAAAGGTGGCGCTCAAGCGAAAGCCGCTCTATATCATTATGTTATCTATAATCAATCAACGTCATTAATTACAACAATAGAGCTGTTTTCAATTGAGTGTCGTAAAAAACAAATCCAAATAAATTACTTAGCAATTATACTACACAGCCAATCTCAAATCGTGGTAAAACCAAAATCAAAACCAAAACCAATTGAAAGTAACTGTTTGACTACTCAACTGAAAACCCCTCTATATCTGTTTCTTGTCCCTTTAAGATAACCAGTAATATCTTTGGTCACACTGGTGATACCTAATTTCATGATCATGTAAAACAATTGCTCCATTTCAAAAGTAGATAAACATTCTGGTCTGATTTCATCAAAGCTATAAGATGTAAATTATTTTATTACTCATAAATTAACCTTACTGTTAATCGGTAAGATAGAACTTCAAACACTAAACAAACAAAATTATCCACAGAAACACACACACAAAGTTCAAATTATTCTATTAGATAATTCCAATTCGGCTTGACGTGAAGGAAAAACTGCGTTGAAAGTAATCATTTTCGGACATCATCAAGAACAACCCTCACATGTTTCCAGCATATTAAATATGAGGAATATAATTTTTTATCAAAATTACATGACGTAAATGATTCACTGATTTAGGAGATAAAAATAGCTCTTGCTTTCTGATCCTCTGAAAGTACCCAAAGAATTTCTGGCTGATCAAAGTATATAAATAAATTATGTAAATATTTTGCAATGCATACTGGAAGTTAGCATGACTGCATGTCCGGTAACATTGAGCTCTTTATCCACTTGCAGTTGATAAAAGTACAGTCGAACCCCTATTGAGCAGCCACTTATTAAATGGCCACCTTTACTAGGCGGCCAGTAATCAAGTCTTCATGAGGGCTTTTCTATTGTTTTTACCTCTATTAAGCCACCAGCCCCCTTCTTAAGCGGCCACTATCCATTTCCCCTAGGGTGGCCTTTTAATAAGGGTTGCACTGTATATTAATATCCATAGTGAGTTAGTGAGGCTGATGTCAGAGCAAAGTGATAGGATTGTGGGTTGGAACTGTGCAGTAGGACTACAGCACTATAGGCAACACATGTGTCTTCTTTAATAATAATTCGTTAACATGAAAAATGGTTTTACATTTAACTGTTAGCTGACTGTCAGCGTAAGCTGAGTTCTGCAACTTCAAAAAAAAAAAGAAAAAACACTTGTACAACTCTATACAATCCAGAGCAAAATCTAAAACAGGAATTATGGCTTAGAATGCTGATTGACTCATTCAGTCAGCAAGTCTAATGGTTAGACCTTATTAAGTTTCATTTTTGCGACATAAAAATAAAACCCTAATCCTACATTGAAGTCAAACTTTACCAGCAGTTGGCTTAGTCTGATATGTAGCCTATTGAATACCACACTGAATTGTGAGGGAGGCAAAGTGCCAGGACAAACATGTACAGTTGTACCCCACTAATGCACTGGTCACCCAAAGGCAGACACCTCTTGTTAATAGACACTTAGTGATCATCTCGTCGCCACTTTATATAATTATCGAGACACTTCATGTATGACCTCCCATCCCACAGCCAACTCCCTTACACGAATACTTTTTCATGTCCCAAGCCAATCCACTTATAGGAGGTTGACTGTATTCTCCCATTGCATCTTTTCAGTACTCCCAGCCTTTAACTTAAAAACTAAAATAATTTGTTATAAAATAATACTTAAAGTGCCCACACGACTTAAAGTTCATTGTTTCTTATAAATCTGTTTCCTTCTGAATGCTTGCCTTGGTAGATGAACCGGCTACGCCCAAAGGTTCCTCTGTGATCTCCTGGGGTTATGGAGTTGTTGGGTAATGGAGTGTAATGTGGTCTTTCCATGCTCTCTTCGTACTGAGAAGCCTGTGGATCAACAACAATCAAGATATAAGTAAATAAATGCGATTTGTCATGAAGACAAATTCTGAGTCCCTGATGCAAGTGGAATACAAGACCTGCCACGTATCAGCTGGATGTTGCAATGGACTAGCATCCCATCCAGGGAGGGGTAAAAATACTGCCAGTTGCTTACAGAAACCCAGGATAAGCTCTGCGTGTATGAGCCTCTGAGCTGATGCACACGTAACCCAGGTTACCTTATCAAGGTGGCAATGTACACGTAAGAAAAGTCACGAGGAGCCCAAAGGTACCTAACCATGAAATCCTGAGTGCCCAGCACTTAAGCTTATATGAAAAAAGTATTAAGTTTTTCCAGTCACCTAAAGGTAAAAGTTAGTCCCCGGTGGCATCCGCGTGCTCCTAGAGCACAGCCCTGCTTATGAACAACCTTAGCATTTACCATCTTTCTTTCTCTCAATAAAATCAAGTTGTCAGTAACACATGAACATTGCATCAGCTGTACAGAAACCCTAATTTCAACATAAAACAATCAAGTTGATAGGTTTTTACTGACCAACTCATCAGAGGAAGGAGCCACAATCTTCATGTATGCACCCACTCTCTGTGCTTCATCCTTCTCCTCCTTTTTAATAGGTCTTGAGTCGAGAAATGTTAAATTCGGCAAGCGATAAAGGATGTAATATCTGCCAAAACAATCATATGCAAGGCTTAGGAATCCTGTTGATAAATGCAATAAATGGCATTTCCAAAATGGCTAAATCTATATGTATGCATCTTTTCGATTCTTGTTTCTCTTCTGATTGCCTATTTGTCACGTTATGGGCCTCGGAACATCCAAAGAGATGAATCACCATTGGATGATCCTGAAGCTAGCGTGCAATCACAGATGGATTTCTGGCTTTTGTTTCACACTACTGAAATTTTTTTTACATTGTGAAACAAAAATCTGAAGTTTGTCTACATGTGTTTGTGGGCTATCCTGAAGCAAAGCAAGCCTCAGGGATTTAATTATCTCATCTTAGGATGAAATTTGATTTTATTAATTATCTCACATTGAGATGAAATTGGTGTGAGGAAGTTACCTGTATCGCTGATAGTCTTCCTCGTCCCTGAGTGAAGATGAGAGCTCGTTTGGACAGGCTTGGTTATTTAGCAGACTAATGTACTTTAACGAAGGGAGATTCTTGGAAATCTTGTCCAAGAGTACATCTAGATTGGCTATGTGCTAAAGTTAAGGACAATTTGTCTCACTAAGAATTATTTTCGTTAAATTAACATTAAGTTCAAGGTAAAGCACAGACCATATAGCTTGCAAACAATTAATATTAATATTTAGATCTTACCCTAGTTTCCATATTAAATAATATTATGAGATTAAGTTATGTGAATGTTTCCTCAAGGCAAACATTTGCCAAGACTTTCACTCCAATGCCTGGTTGTTCAAAGCATGATCAAATATTGATTTCAGTTTTGAATCTTTTCCATGCATTTTTTTTCTTTCAGACACCGAGTCCCCAAACTTCCCCCTATCCACCCCTCTCTTCCAAATAAAATTGATTAAAGTGTGGGATCAGGGACTTCCTGATGACAATGAAGCCTCTGTGAACAGGATTGGCATTACAGCTCATGCAGGGAAACATATTCCAATATTTTAGCTATTAACTTTTCTGATTTGATGTTGATCCATCACCGTGGACTGGTTTTACTTCTTTTACTAATTATAATTACCGTTTTGAGTAAATTTCTTTTTCAGACTCATATCTGATTTAAAGGTCAAGATCAAGCTGATCTAAAGGATATTCTATTCTTGTTTAATGTGAGTGTGTGCAAATGAGTCAATTCAGGAATTTCCATGTCATCTCCCAGCTGGTTGTTATCAAGGATGAGTTCCTCAAGTTTCACAAAACTGTTGAGGCCATTAAGTGTTCTGTTGAGAGAATAACAAAAACATAGTTTAGCCGGCATATAATGGCAGGGATAGAATTTGACTTACTTTTCACACTATTTGTCATATGGACAAGTAAAATTTGTGCAAGTAAATTAAAAACATGCTTGAGAATGCATTTGAGTGCCTGTTATTAATGCAGATAATTAATAATCAAACTTGATATGTTTCCCAGTCATGACTCAGTGGGACTTTGTCAGGCCTGCATCAATGTTTTCAAAACAAGCCGGTGACCGCCGGAGTTCCACCCACTTCTTGATCAATTCTATATTGCCAGTTACTCTGGTTACAGCAATCAACTTGTGACAAACAAGCTTGGCATTGCGTCTCATTGACAAATCTTTAAGACAGCAGAGTACGCGTAGCTTCACACTAAATTTTGCAGCAATAATCATTTATGCAATAGGAAGTAAGCTTGGTAACAAGAAATTTCAAGCATCTGCTGTATTTTGTGCCCTTCACATTATCATGTTTTTGTAGCCATCTTGTAGTTTTAAATATAAAGTGGCCAGGCCAACCTCCTCTGGGTGTCACCTCTAGCATCATGGCCACAAAAGGATCGTGAAAAACTGATCTCTTTTCTTTTGGCTTCAAAAAGTCACACTTGACAGGTAGGTGAAAAATTTGGCCAATACACACAAGTAATCACTTAGTAAGTTGTCGGACTTTGCCATTGTTCATGCGGCCATATGATTACTTTGTTGTAAGATAAGGCAGAAGATCATGGCCCACTATAAATAATATTTAATTAAAAGATAAAATGAAAATTCTTGAATTTAAATAGCATGAGAATTGGAATTTAAAATTATGCTGCTAATTAATAGCAACAATTTGAGCTTGTGAGCACAAATATTTTCCCCTTCGGCCGTTGACTTCTGGGGAGTAATTTGCATATATGTGGAAGGGAAGCTAAATCTAAACCTGCTTTCGAAATGTGACTGTGCTGTTTCATGGATTTCCACCTTAAAGTTTTGTTGGCTGTTGTCTGATAAATAAATTAACTATAAAATAATAAAATTTATTATTACTTGCAATATGAACCATGTAATAGACCTTTTTAGCTTGGGGCAGTTTGTTTTCCCATAAAAAAACACCTGATATTCTCTGGAGAATTTTTCTTCTTTTATCCATCTAAAAATTATTTATTCATATACATGCGACTAATTGATGAATGTTTGGAAAATAGAATTCTCAAGAGTATCATTCCATGGTCTGAAATGGGGCAACAACCTGCCCAAGCTAAAAAATCTATAATTTGAATTATTTTGTTAAATTATACATGTGGTCACCTTAGCTGATTGGAGCTCAGATCCAATCTTGTGATCACCTTCCCATATTTGCTTCCAATAATTCCTGGCATGCTCTCAGCCTCTTGGCCAACAAACGACAACTGCGAGAAAAAATTGATCACCTGCATAGTTTAAAAATTTTATCAACAATTTGAAAGGAAGCTTATGTTTGCGTACATGAACAAATAGTCTGGAAATTGAACCCAAAGGTATCTTTCAGTAGTTTATAATGTCATCATCTGGTTAATTGTCTACAATTAAGCCAATTTACAAAAAGTGGGTCTATTTGTATTTGGTGCAGTTTAAATGTAGCTATATAGTCACAGCAGAAGCGTATTTAGGGAGAAGCAGAGGAGGTCATGCCCCTTCCTACCCCCCCACCCCCTTTTCTTCTTGTATTTTCAGAAAAAAAATTGATCAACCACCTCCAGAATAGAATTTTTCTTTAGGTTTGGGGAGGGGTGGGAATGGCTTGTGCTCTGTCACAATTTCTTTGGCACCTTTAACTCAATTTTCTTGAGCTGTCCCTATAAAGCTCTGTCAAAATGTAGTTGGCTGCAAATAATCTTCCCGCCTTCAGTGAATTCTTTGCTGCCAGCCTCATACTGCAGTTCATTCTGACTTAAAACAAATTTGTCTCTGGCCTTTTAAATGGTCCACTATTTCTGTTATCCTGTCTGTATAAAATACTTAAATTTTTCTTCGGTTGTGTTTTGCTGCAAATAGCATTCTGCTCATGTGTAGTTGTAACCATGCTCTTGTGTGAAAAAAGGGCTGGTCACTAATTCCCTGAGCTGTCAGTGAGTGACTTCATAGAAACAAATTTGGTGATTGAATGAGAAAAAAAATTATTGAACTTGGTTAGTGCAAAATATTGTGATTTGTCAGTATCTCGCATATTAACAATTGCGTTTTGCCACTGTCAAATCACAATATTTTGCTAAACGTCGTCCAATTGTCAATTGACATGGCCGCAGTTGTAAGATTAAGTTTGTTAATTTTAATTTCAAAATTAAAGCAATGTTTACTTCAAAACGAAGAAACTGTGCAATTTCTAACATCTTTTTACTCAATAAACAAACTGTATATATACGGCCCCAGTAGTTTTGCCCTGCTGTGGAAAGCGTCATGTTTGAAAATCACGGCAACTGTTAGCCTCGAGCTACGCTTAAACAATTAACTTAATAGATTTAAGCAGATATAAATTTTACACGCATCCATATTTTACAAAAGTTAAACTTTCCTGGCTTTAAACGAGATCAGAATTAAACTATAGTGTTTGAATTCAGTCTTGTAAATACAAGCAATGCCAGTTCTTCTTTACAAATCATATGATGTCGTGATACAATACGCTTTAATTTGCAAGTCAGTAACAAGTTCTTTATGTGTTGCTGCAGATACAAGCTTAATCAAGTAGCAAAGTTTCCCACAGACATGTAAATTTGTAAGCGAACATAGACGAAGAAGAAAGATGCCTCTATTACCTGAGAACCATTAAGCACCACAGCTGCTTCGGGATTTTCCATCTTTCAGTTAAAAAGACCACAAAAGCGTCGCAGAATTTGTGAGTTACCTCATGTCGATCATGTTTTGCATGGCTGTGAATTCGGTACCAGGCCTATTACTTCCTGTTCCCGGGAGTAGACTGGACAAGACGATTGATGCCCCCAGGCACCCACTCTCACGAAAATGATCGTTTACATTGTGGGAGATCAGGGACATTGAATTGAGGATAAAGACACTGTGAACAGAATTGACATCTGGCCCAAGCATGAAAATATATTCCGATCTTTTAGCCTTCTATACTTTGAACTTCACAAATGAATGTAGATCCGTTCACGTCACGTTAAGGTCACGGGTCCGTCACGCTGTCATCAATGACACAGAGCGTCACGTCACTCACGTGTTTTACCAATTTTTACCGTCACGAGTTTTAAGTCTTTTACCAATATCCCTCTTCAGCTTGTTTCCAGTTTCAGTTGCTGCCCGTGTTTATATATGTTCATGATGTAATTTTTCTGATCTTTTGATCTCTCGTGATACTCTCCTTTGGTTACAATAATTATAAACCATTATACCTTTGACAGGAGCTTCTAATGATTGAACACAGCAATGATTGACAACTGACGTTAAAAAAACTGAGTTTATTCTTCATTTTATTTGGTACTTTGGAAACTTCCAATACTGAACATGCACATCGATATATATCTGTCCCGGGGGGGGGGGTACTCCCATATAAAAAGGACGGGGGTGGTCGTCGGAAATTTTGAAAAGAGCCCATCCTGTTTCATGGGCGTGGCTTGAATTTTTTTTTTTTTTACCCCTATAAAGAAGAGGTACCAATTCTATGCAACAACACATTTTCTCCTGTCAAACTTTTTTCGGTTCACTACCCTAAAAGGCAGCGCAAAAGCCCCCGCTGTGGATCTTTAGAGGCTAACACCCTTGGAGGTACCAAAACCGCTCTTTTAACCCTTAAAGGTACGACAAGCACCCCCGTCCTCTTTATATGGGAGACCCCCCGGATACCCGTGTAAGCTTACATACAAAACTCCGTATTTTCCAGTTTTTTCCTTTAGCCGTTTTTAGAAGCCTATGTATAAATGCAACTAGTTCTGAAAATAATTTTAAAAACTTGAACGCCACTGATTAAATCTACCTCGTACCACGGTACTCGAAAAAATGAAAGAATTTCATTTATATGTGTACATGTAAGGAATTTCGGATGCCTGAAGACGGGATAAAATGCATTGATGTAGAAATGTTTTAATGAAAAATGGATTTCAAATTGGAAAAACTTTGATATGCAACAAAGGTTGACAACTAGATGTGTCGATTGGATTCTATTCGGAAGTCATTGAAACTGTTTAAAATATGATCCGTATTAACATGGAATTTGTCTGAGTAAGATATTGATCTCTTATCTATCACATAGTTGGCAGATATTTCCATACATCAGATATCGCTTATTATTAACGTTTATAAAAGAATGGCACCTTTGATCTGATATCAAATAACTTGTTTCTGTAAATACAAAACATAATAAATAAAACGAACGAATGTATACCTCATAAAAAAGTGCCCATCGATTTTGGTACAAAGTAGACACACTTAAATATTGCGTAGAATGGCTTCAGTCGGAGCAAAAGGCTAGTATCGACTAGTTGTGAACGTATTAAAGCGCATATTAACAAAACTTTGGCACTATCGGCTGGAAAAACGCAATACAGGGCTACAAATTCGTTATCTCTACTGCTTAACAAATTTGTCTTGTGTTCTCAGACTACAAGTAACCTAACTAAACACGAAAACATTATTTAACCATTCTAACGACCTACCTGATTTTGGTAATTTTCCACTGTATTGTACTAAATTGTCTTGTTATCCAATATTAATTTAATATTTACTTATTATTAGCTAGATCGATCTACAACAGTTACAACCTAACTGTAACACTTCTATAACTTGATAAAATCTGTCTAGTTTAACAGAAGCCCGGGACCAGAAGCCAGTAAATACGTTCAATATAAAACTAACACTAAATGATTTTTTTAGTACAGCTAAATAAATATCGAGTGTAGTATTAAAAACCCCTTTGATGTCAACCTGTAAAAAACGTTGGAAACTTTACAAATGCTGCAAAGTTCCTTTTATAGAAAAATAAAGGCACAGGGTAATGCAATTTCTAAGCATTTTAGAAGTCAACCCCTAAATTTCCTTCATAAATGCGAATATTGACTTAAATCCCGTTCGCAGACGTCGAGTCTCGTCTTCCTTCACTCAAAGATAACCTTGTCACACAATATTCCTCTCACCGTTACGTGACAAACTATAACGGTTGCGAAGTAAGCGTGACGTCAGAATGAGTATGTACAGCGACAACTGTATGACGTTCGTCTTGCAAACTAAAATACTTTAAAGAATAATTCAACTCCTATTCTTGTGGTGCTTCAGGTTCCTGTACTTGAGGTGGAGGATCAGATCGTTCAATGGCGGGTAGTTTTTCTGCATCTTCTGTAGTCTCGCTGTCTTCCTTTGGTTGTTCGGGGGCTGTTTCGGCTGCTGGAGAAAAGGCAGACATGCACAGTGATAAATACCTTGAGCTCCAGTTCACATGCTACCCTCGAGGGGCCCTAAAGTCACACCAACTCAGAACTGTCACGCTGCTTTGACTGGTCCTGTGACATCTAACGTGGCTGGAAAGTGGACTTAAACCCGGTTTTAAAACAAGCGAAGCAAAGTCAACACAGACGGATTTTTGTCTGAAGTACCAACTAAGGATTCGTTCCCATTCGCAGACTAATACTTAACCTGATTTATCCCTGGTTTCCCTGAGGAAACGGAGGATTGTGAGAGCGAAAGCTGAGTCTCTGAAAAGCCCCTGCTAACCACCTCATAGTGACAGCGCAGACATTGACTTGTCACGCAACGTATCATCCGATAAGCCCTCAAAGAATGCGTTACATGCAAAGCAGATAATCCAGGGACGCTCGTCTTAAATGCAAGCACACCAACGCCTTCTTCTGCTTTACATGTAACACAATCCATCAAAACGGAGTATTTTGAGAGATAATACTATGGTTAACACCCGGGGGCAAACGCTTTCTCAAAGGCTTCGTCGGACGTTGCGTCAGACGTTGACTTGGCCTGTCAAGCAATTTACCTCAAGATTGTGCGATCATGCAAAGCAGAAGGCATTGGCGCTCTTGCGCTTTTAAACTAACGTCCCTGGAATACCTGTAGGTATCAAGACTTGCTGAACGCACCTTCCGTTTCCTGCTGTCCCCCTGCTTTTTCGTCCCCTGCTGTTTCGCCTTTCTCTTTCCCTCCTGCCTGCTCTGACTCCCCGGCTGCCTGTCCTGATCCCGCAGCTGCCTGCTCCGATTCCCCCGCGGCCTCCTCCGTGCCTCCTTCAGCAGGCTTCTCCTCACCCTCCACCTCACTGGCTGGCTTCTCCTCCTCGCCGGCCTTCTCTTCTTCACCCTCGGTTTTCGCCTCCTCAGTAGCACCCTGAGCCTCGCCTGCAGGCGCTGTCTCTTCATTATTCTTCTCTGCTTCCTCTGCCTTGTTGTTGTCTTGTTCTGTTTGATGAATCACAACAGAGAAAACTTTTACCTCATATCCTGACCGGCAAAAGGGACGAAGGGAGACCAGTGAGTAAATAGAGTCTTCCATCACTCGTGCTCACCCTTCTCAGTAGGGAGCGGAATGGCCCAGTTCTGGCCCTCTCTGTGTCACGCAACATCAGGAGAAAGGGACCCTCTCTCTCCATGTAGAGTGACAGAGAGAGGGCCATAACTGAACTAGAAACGGTAAAACCGCTGTATTTACAAATCAGTGGCAGGGGACCCTTTGCCATTGCTACTCAAATTATTATCTTTAAACAAAAACAAACATCTTTGCCGTATCATTTTTGCTTAATTACTACAACCTTCTGGCATCAATTCCCCTCTCTTACATGTACAAGCCCCACTTTAGTGTAATTTTCGACTTTTTTTAAGAAGTTAGTCCCATCTTCGTCAAGGTTAGATACATGTACCACCCCTCTGCCAAATAGAGACATTTAAGTAAATAGTATTATTATATGACAAGGTAGTCTCAAGGTTAATTAAAGTTCTGATTGATTCTTTCTTGCCATATGACTAACCACTTACTAGCCTAGTTTACTGGAGCTGTACTGTGAAGTATTGGGCAACATTACTTTTTTATGGACCTCACTGAGCTTCGTCTATTACTATACTGCCACAACTCAAAGGCAATATTCCCCAGTATGGCCCTGGCACTCAGTTAGTAAGAGGCTAGAAGTTTCACAGAATTTGAAGGTGAAATGACCTTTAAAGAAAAGAATAATGTAGAAAAGAAGAAAAGAGAGGGGGAGAAGGTATCAGAAAGTGGGCAATAATGTTAGATTTTTTTTGGCTCAACACATTCACAAAAGATCTTCATGTTGTAAAGCCACTTGAAATAACTGTTTTTTATTCAATATTCAAACAAGTGCCATGCCAGTTCAAGTGAAACTTGAATTGACAATGAAATTTATTAACTATAACTTTGGAATCATTACAATTTTCTGTCCAGATAATTTTGAAATTAACTCTGTCCAATAAATTGAATTATACAATATTAATGTACCTTTGATAAACTATAAATGTGAAACTGTAATATATATTATTTCTCAATTTATCTTTAGCAAATAACTATATAAAATTTTCTTTTATTATAATATTTAAGAGCATAAATTGTACAAGGAAATCTTCAATTTCTTTGTAATAGCGTAAAATTCACAATTTAACAGACCTGAAGAATTCCAAAGGTCAACAAGTAAATTCATATATCGAAACAAATATTAAACTGTAATTTTCTTTATCATTCTCTTTGTCATAGAGATATTTGAATGAAGCTTTGAAAAGATTCAAGAACAAAGTTACGAAACTGTTATAAAGGCTTAAATGTGGAATTAATCAATTGATGCATTTAAAGACTTTCATCAATGAAGATGACATCCTGATGAGTTTTACATGAAGCATGCATCTGATCTAGTCAGGCTTTGGCTTTCCTGCATCACAAATGAAACAAAAAATCTTAGTAAACTAGCTATTACTAGCAAGGTATTTGCAGCAACTCATCAGATGTAGTCAGTCAGTTATATAAATTAAAAGTATTACTGAGGATACAGCTGATCTTGAAGGAAGTTTGTTAATTGACCCTGACCATCCCATGTAACTTTAGTTAGTGAATGATGTAAACTTTAAGGTGGAAAAGAAAGTTAAAAGAGCATTTATTCATTGTTAGCTGGTTGTTGATGATATCCACTTCATCTTCCATTGTATCAGTGCAGTCTATACTTGTATGCTATTTTTTCCCTGTAAAACTATTTATTAGGTCTGAAAATAGCCTACTCATGAATTTGATTGTGTACTTTGTAACACAAGTTCTGTTGGTATAAAATTTAAGGTACTTCCTTAGTATTTGCACTGCGCATCCCTACTTTGCATGATTTTCGAGTCATTAGCGCGTGCACATGAGCGTGTGCGTGTACAAAACGTAAGAGATTTCCCTCAAACTAAGCTCAAAAGTGAAATAACTGCTCCTTTTCTCTTAACTTAGCACAGTGCTCCCCACTTTTTATTTCATAATTTCAATGAGAACAATATCCTCAGTACCTGAGAAAAAAATTAGCAGAAATCTATGGCTACTTTTTTGGCAATTAATGAAATAAATACTACAGAGGGAGACAAAATGGGCCCACGAGCGCATGTCCAAATTATGTTTGCTTTAAAGGATAAAAAATGCAGGGTATTTAAAGACATTTTTCTGGGATGTAGACGAAAAACAATCAAAGAAAGTCAAACTCTGTGTGATATAACACGCTGCATTGAAAAATAATTGAGCTTATTTGTTGCACACGGAGATTACCAAGTCACCTAAATAACCATACTGGTATTTGTCAGCATTGTGGTGTGAAAACAAGCACGGTGACCCCCTCTTTTTACTACGTTTTTAATATCTCCTTTTCCTATAACAACATCATACCAAGTTTCATCAGAAATCTATGGTGGTTTCTTTTACTAGAGAATCACCTAAATGGAAGGTTGAACATTGAAAAAAAAATCACTTTTTCAAGAACTTTTTGATTAATTGGCACTTTTGGGACTACTGTAAAGTGACAAAAAATTACATGCCTCATTCACTCTTTACTACTGACAGTAACTGAACAGTTCCAAGCATAATGTCCCCAAAAGTACATGTATCGACTCTCCAAAATTAATGTAGCAATGAAATTTCAGTTGCAAGTAAATAATTTCTAAAAGTAGTGGACCCGACTGAAAGTAGTGTTTACATTCTGAAAGAAGCAGCTTGAAATGGTCTGAACTTGACTTGATATAATGAAATGTTCAATGAGTCAGAAAAACCTGGTGAGGTGATAAGATTACCTGGGCAATAATATTATTGCAAAGGTAATCATACAAAAAAAACAGGACTTCTGATAGGTCGCATAAAAAAAGTCAAATTTGGCAGGATTTTCAGAGACAGTTTTTTGCAACATTAATCTAAGAACGCCTGGTACACGTGGTTTTGGGATGTTGTTTACTCATCATTGCAGTGATGAAGTTAGACTTGCCACAAGTTGACTGCGAAAATGCGAAAGCGAGCGAGTCTCAAGACGACGAAATCAAGGGACAAAGTCCCGAGAGGAGCGACAATCTTAGGTGGTCCCACCGGGCCACCTAATTGTCTAATCTAGCAGAAACAGGCTTTGAGAAAGTCTATGATGAAGTTCCAAGACAAATTTGGAAGTTTACTGCAAGTGAGCCCCAACAGCCAAGATGAGTTTCAAATATGTTGTACCAACATTTATTATATGGCTAGCTCCGTGAGCAGGCAAGATAAATATAATCCTGTGCTGTGACTGGCTACCCGAGCAGGCAAGATGGAGCTATCTTGCCTGCTCAGGACTATCCGCCGTGTCCCATAAAAGAAAATTCTGCAAAAGCCACATAATAAATCCTTTATTGACCAAGCTTGTTCGGTCAAGATGGCTTGATATTGCCCTCATTCTTTTTTTCCAAGTTTACGGACCTCGACTCCATCTTGGTCCATAAACACGCAAAAAAAGAACTTGGCCAATATCCAGCCATCTCAACCTCACACTTGGTCAATAACCCATATGTATTTGGTAAGATTACTAGCGAATTTTGTGCTGTTTTGTGTGTTTTTGTGAATTTTACAGGATTTTGCGGATTTACTTGAAATTGGCAGCTCCTTGACCGCGCGAAATTTCAGAAGCCCTGAAAAAAGAAAGGCTAACTACATGTATATTAATTGTTACCCTGTTTTGATGTTGTACCTATATGACTAAATTCTTTTTGAAATGTTTCATATTTCTAATTGAATTTACAAATTGGTTAATTAATTGGCTTATATGATTGTGCATACAGTATAAAACAAAGATTGCTGTTGTAAAGTTTCATTTAAAGACTTAATTAATATTTTATTGAATGGATCAATCTGTATTATGGCAACCACTACAGCTTAACCTGACAACCCCTCTCCCCCCTCCCCCCTCCCTCCAGAAAGTTCTGAAAGTCAGTATCCTCCCAAAGCAAGGGGCCACAAATGAGTAACCTAGAAAACAGAAAATGTTCAATCCAATCTCAAAATCTCAGAATCCTTTACACATTGTATGATAAGTAATGGAGACTATTAAATATGTGTTTTGTTCCATCTTGCAGTTGAAAATCATTAAATTAGTCTCATTCTCGGATTTTCCAACAAGGATCTTAATGTCTCGGTGAGTTCTCTCATTTTACCTCAATGGCATTTGTTAGTACCCTTAACATAGCAACAAAAATTGGCCTCGGCCTCAAGTCTGAAAGTAACAAAGATTGTCACTTTCAGAACTTTATCACCTTTTGATTCTGTTTCAGTACTAACCTTCAACCTCGTCACCCTCCGCAACAGGGGCTAAAGTGCCAGTAACCTCAGGTGGTATCGGCCTTGGTGTTGGGTCAATAACGACTTCTTCACTGGCTGCCTTTTCATAAGCTTCCTGTCGAGCAATAGCCTCCGCTTCCTCTTTTCTTTTCTGTTCTCTTATGAGCTCCTCGGCTGCTTCTATTCTTTCCTTCTCAAGAGCTTCTTGCTCTTCCAGTTTCTAGAAAGAAATGTGAGTTCTAAGTTTAAAAAAAATGAAGAACATTATTGGGTGATTGTGCAGCTTCTAGTATGATATTCTGAGTATCATGTTAAGAGAAAAGGCAAAGTATCAGCAGTGGTTTCATTGCAGGTTTCAGCAGGCCAGAAGATTACCAGCTTTTTAACCAGATGGGTGTCCAGGCATCCTGTGGACTTAAAATGTTACTTTATAACTAAGCAGAGCAGAGTCTGTAGTACAATTTGGCTAAAATCCTAGCTAAAAGTCTGAAGACAATTATTAGTTTTTGCAGGCAGGCAGAACATTTTTAACCGAACTTAAATTTTATAAGAAAAATTTCTCTCCAGATGGTCAAACCAGGCAGACAAAATCATCCCCATAACCCATCAATTTGCCTGCTGCCTGGCCCACAAATTGTGAGTCCCCTGTATTAGCCACTTGAAGGCTTAAACTGTAGACGTTGTAATTTGGTATATTACTATAACTTTACGTCGTAATGATTTCAAACTAGTTTGATTTGCATTTCCTTTGGTCCCAGATTTAATTATAGCATACATCTAACAAAAAGAAAAAACAAAAATTAAACTAGTGAGAATAATTGTGAGTTCAAACTCTTGACCAAAGCCTTCAGTAGTGAAAATCTCACGTGGATAAACAAAAAGAAAATGTTCACAACAAGCGAAAAAGAAACTTCTTATAAAACAGTCTGCTCAGTTTTGCTGCCACTTTCCCTTGTAGGAATATTCATTAATTTTTCACCATGCTTGGAACGCTTTTCCTGTAAGCTTTAATGTAATTCTCAACTTAACTGATAAAATATTATGGCAACAGTTTAAAGACGCTTTCATAACGAGTAGTACTGAAAGGAGAAGGCAAAGGACTGTGAAATCTGTGTTATGAATGTTCGTCATCTTCGTTTAAGACTAAGCTTACAGTGCAAAAGTAAAGGAAGACAGTGAAAACGATGTAAGAACAAATGTCTTTCGAGCTTACCTTCTTTGCAAACTCTTCATTCTCGACATATTTCCTGAGCCAGTGAGCGAGATATTCGATCGGATCAACGGGCCTTTTCTCGGCTATTTCAGCCAGACCAGAAGCAAGCGCATTTCCCACGTGCTTTTTGAGATACTCGGAGTCCATTTTCCAAAGTGAAATCAAGAAATTTACCCCCGATTCAACCGAGGATTTCAATCCGTATTTTCCAAACTCGCTGACTTGTAACCACGGTTACTGCGTGAAACCGCTGCAGCGAGGACGTGCATACGCATGGTGGAGCATACACTGCTTCATGTATTCTGTATTGTTGTGTGTTCCAACTCGTTTCTTGCGGAGGGAGGGGGTGGCGTAGAAAATGAATCCCTCCCACCCCTCCCCTTTATCACTCACCTCTCCCTACTTCTTCCCATTTTTTGTTCGCCTCAGGCGCGTTCGATCCCCTCGCCTGGAAAAGGAAGCGTCTGCCACCCAGGGTTAAAAATAGAATTCACCTGAACAGAAGAGGAAATGGAATGAGCAGTTTGATTCATTTCCTTGTCTTTAAAGTTTGTCTGTCTCGCTATAAAAACGAATTTAAATAAAGCGGAAGAAGTTGAGAAAATTAGGAAATGCAGACATCCTGGGCATCTGGCTAGCTCACGAACATTCGGTGGATGTACTACTCAAAATTAAAGTTTTTGCCACGGAAAACAATTAAGGGAAGCAATTAAGATCCGGTTAAGAGAGCCCTGTTTGAGTAGAGACAATGGCTTGGAATTAGCCAACATCCTTAGTTTAAATGATTGATTGATCGATAGATTGATTGACTGATAAACTTACCTCTACTGTTCAGTAAAACTTCCTCTAGCGCAATATTTAAAGTACAATATGTAAGTCTGCCTAGTAAACTAATTAGTAATTAATATAGTATCAAGAGAATAAAAACCTATCATATTACTAAAGCTGCTTCAGTGATAATGAAACCCCTTTTCAACCTATACATTTTTATCTGAAGGTTCGGTTGAGCGGAACGAAATATTATTTCCTGCGGTTTCCTCTCCGAGAAGAGACTTATTTGAGACCTGCAGGAAGAGTATTAAGCAATTTTGTCTAGGCAGATCACAACTTTGTACAACAAAATTCTGGAAGTACATTTCACCAAGACATGTTGTCGAAATATAAACTTAGAACACGTCTCGCTGAGGTTTCGTATTTCCTCTGAGAAAAACGATGGTTATAAAGTTATATATGTTCTCTTTGCAGCGAGGGAACAGGTGTAAAGGCAACAAAAAGTTAACGTGAGACAAACTGCACGATCGGAATTTCTCGTGCCACGTGCAACGTGCGCTCAGCCACGGAGGCACGTTGGGGGCGCTGTCCCTAATTTGATCCAATCCCAATTTGTTTTTCAATGAGAGCAAAAGCTAGCCAATCACAAACCGCGTTTGAATGGCATGCTCTTCATAAATCGAATTGCATTTCGTCATCCGCATAACAATACTATAGTTCGCTCCCCGATGTGGAGAGAGAGTTGACTAATGTTTTGGCGCGGAATTACTGGTTTTGCTCAAATCGGAGCACGTTCTTTACCTAAGGTTGTTCAAAGAAGAGGCGGCCTTCAGTTTGCCGCAGTTTTGAATAGATGTGCGCGTTATTTCGCCAGCGAAGCCGTCCCAGACAATGAAATATCGACTCTTCGTCTGTGGAGTGATGGTGGCGGGGAAGAAGTTGAGTCGAATCCCTTTGACGATTTAGGCGCTTGGCACGACGCTGAAGCGAAATCCTTCCTTAACAATGTTTCAGTGGACACTGTTGGTAAAAGTACAACCATAGGACATCGACAGGCGAACGAAGACAGTTTTAAACTTGTAGAATTACAGCCAGATTTACACTACTACGCTGTATTCGATGGACACGGCGGGTCGGTAGCTGTGGACTTTGTAAGCGATCACCTTCACGAATGTATCACTCACTTTTACAACCGGGATAAAAGCATCGAAAGTGTGTTAATCGATGCTTTCGCAAAATGTAACAGTGATTTGGAAGAGTATTGTAAATGGTTAATAGCAGAAGGTAAGCTATACGGTACTCATAAATTTGGCCTGCGTGCTTTTGTTTACGAGACAGTATGATGCAACTATCACTGGCGCTAAAGGTCGCTGAAACTTGCCCTTGAGGCAGTTTACGCATCGTTGATTGTCCGCTTAAAGATTTTGTCGAGTTGATTATGTTAATTCACGTTAATTTTTTGTTTTAATACGCTCCTCAAATGAAAGTTTCTGAGAATTGGTAGGTTGTTTGGGGTCCCGATAATCTTAAATTATTATGTTTATCGGTTCATTGCTGAGTGAAGGTCCCAATGACGTAGGTCAGCGTATTCTATCTGTTCCGTTCTTGTTCACGTGCGTACTAGAATGCGGACTATTTTGAATATCGAAAGTGGGCTTTTCAATTCCTTTTCAATAAAACGTACTTGTTATCCTTTGCAGATTTGATGATACAAATAATGTTATTTTGTGGAAAATGAGTTTACTCATATGTCACTCAATTCAGATAATTTTCTTTTCAAACCCTGCATGTTTAAGAGGTTAATTGGAACAACAACAAAATTCAGAGATCTGATTGGCTATCAGGAGGTCCTATATTAGCCCAAACAAGACTAATAAGTTATGTAACAAGATGCATATCTGGGTAAACTTGGGCGTCTTTCCTGGCATATCGAGCTGTAAACACCAGGAAATCGACATGGTGAAGTCTTAGTNCAATATCAAGGTGACTATGGAGTGAAATTTAATTTCAAAATTCTAATTTTAAAAGGGAGGTGACTTGGTCTATTGTTATGGCAGAGAAAGGAAAGATTTATGCAATATTGAACAAGCCTAAATCGTAGCAATGGTAAAATACATTGTGAGCTCTGACTAACCAACACAAGAATAAGCGAAGTTGTAATTTAACATAATTCTTTTCCATCAATATATAATTTATCTGGCTCGGACTCACTAAAGTTAGCATGTCCACCTTCTTTCCTTGCCTCCTTCAGTTCAACGCTACTTTCCTGATCAGATTCGATGTCTACAGCATGTTGGTGCGTGGACTTCTCGTCTTTGTCTTTCCTTTCTTCTTGAGGCATGCCCATTCAAAATGTCCCTGCTCGCCACAGAATTTACAGGTTGCACCCTTTGCTGGGCACTTGTCATGGGAATGAAAGTCTTCCATACACCAGACACAGGACTTCTTTCCATCAGACTTCTTGCTGTCTGTATTTAGCTTATGAGCTTTTTCTTGGATTCATTCCTTTGTGACTTTAATGTTGGGTCACATGTGTATGAAGTATCGACATGAGCATCACTGGGGTCTTCTAACTTTTTCATGGTGGCTTCCATGGCTTCGCATCTTCACATGAGCTCCAAGCAGTCTTAAACAGTCACATTTCCCCCTTTTGCCATTAGTTTTCGTTTGCTTTCTTTGTTTACACAGCCACAAATAAGCTTATCTACAATGAGAAAGTTAGTGTTGTCTGAAAACTCAGCTTGACGATACAAGTCCATGATTCAAGAGTAGTAGGTCCTAGTATTCTCATCAGCTGGTTGACCCAGGAGAGCTGTTGGTGTTGTAATCCTCAGTTCTGGGTCTTCTTTGAGCCTGGCTTCGATGAGCGATATTAGGCATGAGCACTGGCCCATATGCAACCATGATTGAGCTTTACTCAGTCTGACCTGGAATGTAGAGGTCCACCTAAGATTCTCTCCACCTCTTTTGTCCACAGTTTGAATTGTAAGGAAGCTGATTCCTGGAGGTTGGAGGTCCAGTCAACCTTTATTTGCGGAATGTAATTGCTTTCAGCCATTCAAAATGTTGCATAACACAGGTAATATTTGACTATCGAAGATGCAAAAGTTTCTTTGATTCAATATGAAAAGTCATAACCCTAGCGAATTTGTCAACTACCACCTGCCTGAAGTGTACGAAGTATCTTTTCTTGAAGAGTTTTGCAGAGGGTCTCTTCTACTCAACACCCTGTTATTGTGTGGGCTGGGGGCAACCCTAAGACACGGAATCCGGAAAGCAGAAACCGGAACCGGATTCCAGAATCTGAAGAAAAGAACGACAGAAATTATTCACTTCAATAAATAAATAAATATAGAGAAAAATTGTTTTGTTGTTGTTTAACCCAACCGACCGTGACGAGCTTTGGCCTTTCTTCCACTTCTGACATCATCACCTTTGACCAAAATTGGCATCATCTATGCTCAACTTCAGCTGGAGGAAAAGATTTCTCCAATGATACCCAGATGAGAGTGATCGGCCCAATGGAGCCTGAGATATGTACAAAAATGCTCAAAAAGTTGAGTGAAAAACTCAGAGCAAAATTTCCTGCCATTACACGTGGCTTCCATAGTAAAAATTGCCCATCTCGATGATGCTTTCTCAGAATTTTTAAACTGGAAGCAAGCCCAGTAGAAGGTCAATCACTGCAGCAAAAAGAAAAGAAAAGGAGAAAAAGGAAACGCGCAAAAAAAATTTGAAAAATCGAAAAGCCTAAAGACGTAGGTCACTTTCTCAAAATTTTGATTTCTGCGCATGCCTGGGCAAAAATGTCGTAAAACGCGATGCTAGTGGAAAGAAAGGCATGCTGTCATGTTGCAAATGCCTTTGTGAGTAGATTGGAGCTAATTTGGCCCATATCCAGCCTGAAAATCTCCAATCTCTTTTGGCAAAAAGCTCCTGGAGTGAATGGGTTAATATTTACTTTGCTTTACTTCAACCACAAACGGTAACTGCGAAAACAAACTGACTAGTTTTGAAGAACCTCTAGCCATACATCTGCCCCGGCTGTTCAAAAGGTAATCCATTGGATAAATCACAGGTTTAGTGATTTTTTTGGGTGAATAGAGTTACCCATAGCCTGAGAGCAGGCTCTAGTGTCTATGTTTCCCACTCAAGCACTGCTTTCTTGATTTTTGGTTTGGCACATGAGCAAGTGTCCTCTAGCAGCTTTGCCACTCGCACTCCTGGCCCAAAGACAAGAACTTGCTCCCAGTCTAAGTTACCTATCTTTTGTTCAACCTGGCCCTGGTGAGAACATGGTTCTTGTCTAGATCAAATTGCTCTGAGAAGACTGGTAAATAGCATAATAGCAACAAGCTATTGTCACAGCAGTGACACACAATCATGTGGGTGTCCAGTTACAGGTATCCAATTTGAACTTTTTGTTATTGGATACCCACGTGATTCACACATCAATTACGCGTGCTTTAGTGGCTTCCTTCACAATGTTTCCTACAGTTTTCAAAACTTATGAAAAGCGCTACATATGTTTTTGCTCAAAAGAAGTTCATTTCTAATTCCGAAATTTGTGATAGATACAATTAATTAGTAATTGGACCTTGTGCCATACAATTCAGAGAGTAATCATGCTCATAATATCAAACCAGCCTCGTGCGATTACTCCCTGCATTGTACTCCACTCGCTCCAGTTACTATTACTTATCATTCAAAAAATCAACAAATTACTTAATTTAACCAAACTTGATATCAATTTTTCTGAACTGTTCAAAAATGGCTTTGTTATTGTGTAATACCTAGAACAACTTGAGACAGGCGTTCATCTTAAAGCATTTTATTGATGATTTAAACAAAGGATTCCAAGTCCAGGTGGAGTGATCTAAATGCAAAATTTAGGTAAATTCACCCAGAATAACTTTAAAGGTAATTGAGCTGAGTGAAATTAAATAGTATTTGTATAAAGAAAATGGTTGGCAAGCAAGTAACATTGGTCATTGACACTCCTTTGAAAAATGTTTCCGCCCTGATAATGGAAATGCTTTGCAGCAACAACAGGATTTAGATGTAACATTGAGCTTCTACTTGTTCATCAGTCATGTTTACACCTTGAGTTTGTGTGATAATTTGAAATGGCTCTGCCATCTGAGATCAGCTTAGGATAAAGTCATAAACCAAGTTGGAATGCCAAGTTGCTTGACCATAGCTACTTCATACATAAACTTTTGCCAGTATGATAAGAGCCTGGAATCTGCTGCATGAATAGCATGTTCACATGACATCATCAAATTCTCAAATCCAAAACTAAAGAGCCTCTAAAGTTTTTATCCTCATTAGGCATAAGAGGTACTAAATTTATATCTGTTTACAACTTTCCAGCTCAATATCCTTTGTTTGGAAACCAGCGCATTTTGAATTTCTGAGTTTTGGCGGTGCGTGACAAAGCTAAGATTGTGTTTGTTGAAAAATATACACTTATCTCGTGACTCTTAGCCATTTTAGGAGTATTAGGAAAAGTGCTGGTGTAAATGTTTTTCGGTTCGCTTCAGATAATCAGGCGACTAGATAGCCAAAGTAAGTTCCAGATGTTTACACTATTTTCCGGCTGCCATATTGAAGGACTAAGGAGGTCCACTGAAATGAAGGCTCCATACCATAGCTAGGTTCAATAATTTTGTGCGGAACCATTTCGACGAATAACTCAACTTTGGGACAATGCACACAGCTTAAACTTGGAGAACTGTCTTCTTTATTATCGTCAATAATATCACAATTTCTTGACTTTATCCACTGAATGATTTCTGATTTTCTATGACAATGAACACACTCTATAAAGAAGACTTGTTCACCTGTTGACTGTTTGTCGGTTCTGATTGAAGAGCCTGGCATTTCCTGCCTGATAACATTTTTCATAGCAATACTGAGATTATCATAGACCTTCTTTTGTTGAATTATTAACTGTACAAAGAAGAGGCACTCCGGGTTTGTTGCAAAAAATATCTCCCACTGTATGCATTGAAGTACCTTACTGGAGTCAATATTACAGAAACTAACTTTTGTTTCTTTAACAAACAACTATGGTAAGGTTAACACTCCATTAATAAAAATCCAAGCCTCATGGTTACTCTGAAAGGATATTGCTAGTCAGACTAGAAATCCTAGGAAACTGATACTTGGTTGAGTACCGGCCATAACTCCAATCAGACGATATAGTTGGTGGTTGCCCGATACTTCACCAATACAGTGGAACCTAGGTTCAACCAATAAGAAATCTGCCTGCCTGAATCGGGCAGGCTGCATATATCAGCTTTCTCGCAGTAGCAAAGCAGCTGCGAAATATGAAGTGCGATCGCATTAGTGGGATAGTTAACCAAATACATGTACTGTCAGCTGATGAAATCGTGCCCAATCTAAACCATAGTGGCATATACAACACGCAAAATAGTCAACAGACTTATGCTTTAGAATCTATATTTAAATCATGTGGTGCCAGAATGTCAGCTATCAGTAATTTTCGACCGCAGAAGATATTAAATTCCAACAGAAAAAAAATACATGGCCGCAGTTGTATGTGGAATTGGCGAGACAAGCGTCGCTGCCAGTTAAATGGCTTTTTTGGGAAAATACTTTAGAATTTGTTTTCTCAAAGTGCAACTTTACCTGTGTATTGAAAATTTGTTTTGAATTAGTTCAGGTATAGGCAAAGGCTTGTCCAAATTTGAGGGATGGAGGTGTGGCAGAAAAACATCAATGGCATTTTTAATTACTGGGTTGCTTAGGCGACCATAAGTTTTAGATGTCGAACTCATCAGAAGGATTGATACTTTAATGTAGACTATTTGTTTTTTTTTTTCCCCTTGGAAAATTGACTAAAGAGGGAGTAATACGCGCAAGACTATGTGTGAATTAGGATGGAGGTAAGACAAGAACGCGCCAAGAAAAGGATTGTCTCGTGTCAGGCTAAATTTTTTTCGTCCGTACCGCCATTACATGTTCACATGTACACAGTTCCCGATATAAAACCACTTGCCAGACTCTCGGAGAAAAGACAGAATTCAAGTAGTCTAGGCTATGGTGACGAGTTATTTTTATATAATTTTATCTGCTGGAATATTGCATGACTATCATAATTTGCACAACTCAAAAATGCTTCAAGTATGATGACAACAACAAGAAGAAATTATATACAATGTTTGTCAACATTATGTGTAATATGCAGGAAAGAAAATTTGACAGTCAAACATTGGAATAGATGTACATCATTTCAATTGGTATCCTTGATAGAGAAGTGGTAAGTTCACTTTAGACATTTACATGTAGCTTCCACTATATCAAGGCAGTTTGTACATTATACACTCAGTTTTGTGTGTTTTGATCTCTATAATGCTACTGATATTTTATGATGCCTCTTAAGTATTCAAATTTTCTTGTTGCTGCAACAGCAACTGGTTCTCCCTTTTTTATCCACTCTTTTTTTTTTTGGCTCCAGTTAATGTTATTATTTCAATACAGTACAGCATAATGAGTTCACTTTGTCACTGAATTTCCAACAAGGTGGTGAGGTCCACTGAAGTTTTTTGTTGGCATTCTTGTACAGTAATGGCTGGAATTGTAAAATTTGTTTCCAGCGTTCTAATTACATGCCACTGAACATACTCATTTCACATGGTTGTGAGCAGTAATGTTCCTTTTGTTCTTTCTGTGTTCAGAGAAGTTTAGCATTTTGGGATCTTGGTGTGTTTGAGGAAAATTGGTATAGTTATCTGTAGTTGTCACATTTTTCCATGGAGTAAGCACTTGATTACTTGTGATCTTGCCAATTCTGAATAAAGCGTTTCAGTTTGTTGCAGCTGTAACCTAATTTATAGACATAGTAACACCAAGCATGTTGTTAACATCTTGTTTGTCACTTGCATATAATTATTGTGGTTGCAGATACTGCAGAGTTGATGTTGTTTCCATACTTCATGTGCATCAGTTTTTGACAGTAGGAAATGTGCCTATAATACACATAAAAATATAATGGGTTATATTGCAACTTACAAGTGCACAAATGAACTTAATAAGCTTAATTATCTAGTTGCACTGTTTTGGCCCCTCCCCTCTTACTTCCTTTATGCCCCTCTAAGCAGAAGTTAGTAACTTATCTTATTCTATATTGTGCTTGAGGTTGGATTTGTCCTTTTCAGGGAAAGGTTTGAGGGAAATTATGTGGTAGTTTTCCATCCTCACATCCAAGGATGAATTTTTCTTAGATCCACGTATGAATTTGCTTTTCAAATCTCTGTATTTCTATTATGCAAATTATACCATAGTTACATACAGTTCAAGAAGTTGGGAATGTCAAAAACTGAAAGGGAGTAAATAAAAAACATTATTTGTCTATCTGTGCAATAAATAATTCTGTTTTCTTTGCATGCATGAAATATGATGTATTTTTTCCTTTTTTGTATGAAAAAATTAACTTTTCAGTTATAGTGTAATTTGAAGGTTTCACATTCTGCATCACTGTGCTTCAGGTGTATAGGCAAAGTTAATTTGCAAAATAATATCTTCAGACAGCTTACAGGGTCTACAGGGAAGTGTATATAGGCTTGTGATCACTATAGTATGACTCCAGTGTACCGGCAGATTGCACATGTTGTGGTATATTTGTATAAATGTGATCTGTTTGTGGACGCTGGTCAGTAGTATACTAGTTAATCAACTGTGTGCACCAACTGTTTGTGATTAGAAATGCTATGAGGGCTTTTTGTTCCGTAGTTTCCTG